CCCAGCCGACGCCTGCGAGCCGTCCCTCAGCAACGCCCAAGGCCCACAGCCCCGTTCGCATTTCGGAGGGCGCCTCCTCACCCTCTAATCCACGACACGCCGGGTCCCTCGCCGCGCGCGGGAAGGGACTGGGACGCTAACTTGAGACGGGTACCGCAGCCTCCCGCCCCCTCAGACGTCACCCGGAGGGAGATGGGCGGGGCGACGCCGCTGACGTCCGGGGCGGGGCGTCGGGGGGAAGTGACGTACACGCAGCGGCGCGGCGTTGCGGCGGCGGTCCGGGCGCGGGCTGGCATGTCGGCTCTGACGCGGTTGGCGCCTTTCGTTCGCGGCGGAGGCAGCCTCTTCAGAGGCCTCCGCCCGCGGGCGGCTGGGAGCGGAGTCCGTCAGTGAGTGTCGGCCGGGGGGTGGAGGCTTGGCCTGCTTCTGACGGAAAGCGCCAGGCTCCGGGACGCTCTCACCTTGACGCTGGGCGCCTGGGGAGGATTCGGGTCCCGCGGCGACCTTCACCCCGAGGCATGCTGGGACTTGTAGTCCGCTGCGCGTGGGCGGTGCCTCCATCCAGCTCCGGGACTCCGGGACCTGGAGAGCTGGTTACCGTGGGGCGGTGGGGAGGCTGTTCGCATGGCAGATATTAAACTCTGTGTATGGGGGTGGAGGGGGGCACACATCCCTGCACCAGCGGGATCCTGCGCTCGGGAAATTCACAGTCGGGTGTGGACACAAATTGAAACTAGTCTGGATGCGAGAGCAGGAGCTGGGGGAGGGAGGGCGGTCCTGGCCGAGGGAACTATCAGTACCGTTTGTTTGGGAGCCTCAAGGGCGATGCAGAGTGGCAGAGGTGAGGCTGGAGACCTAGGCATAGGGAGGGAACAGTAGAGGATGCTGATGCCTGGTTGAAGAATTTAAAACAGGCGACAGCGGTCGTTGAGCGGTTTCAACCCGCTGTCCTGTGCCCCAGATTATAATTCCGAAAAATCACTCAGGCTGCAGGTTGAAGAATGAGCTCTCCAAGGCACGGGAGTGTATGTAGGCGATCACGCAGAGAGAGTGTGGAAAGGTGGGAGAGGAGAGCGCCAAAAGTGGATGCTTGGGCAATTTCAGAATTTTTTATTTTAAAAAGTAAGATTGGTTTTTTTAGAACAGTTTTAAATTCAGGGCATCACCTCCTCCATTGTCAACATCGCCCATCGGAGTGGTACATTTGTTACAATGGATGAACCTACATTGACACAGCATTGCCACCCAAAGTCCATATTTTACCTTAGGGTTCACTCTTGCAACACCAGAATTTAAGAGTGAGCAAAAGAGGCACCTGGTGAGGTATGCAGCCCAAGGAACCAGCTGGAGAGCATGGTGCTGGGATGCCAAGGGAGGGCACACCTACCAAAAACGAGCTAGTAGTGTAGAGAGGAGAGATTCAGTAAGAGCAGGACAGAAAATAGTACCTTGGATTTTTCCAGGAGGTGTTCGAGGCCCCTTCCCCCATCATCTACACTTTACCAAGAGGCAGTGCAGGATACTGCATGCCACATTAGCTGCGTGACCTTGGAAGTTTCTTCATCTCTTCATGCCTCAGTTTTCTCACCTATATAATAGGAATAATAATGTTAACTTCTAGGGAATCAAATGCATTACAGTTCTCTGAAGTGTAATGTGCATAGTAAGGACCTTACATGTATTGTTCAGCTGTTGTGAGGGAACTGAGACTCAGGGAAATTAAAGGAGTGACTTGCCTAGAGTCACATGTTTAATAAGAATGTGGAGCTGGGACAGGTATGGGGTGTGAAGGAAAAGGTCTAGGTGAACTGAGCAAAGACAGCAATGAACTACCAAGCCGTAGCCCTTGACCCTGCATGAGGGGACTGAGGTCTTGGTACTTCCATAACACATGCAGATTTCACAGTGTGAGTGATCATTAAGTGAATAAATATTTAGGGGGTATCTTAGAGATTCCAGGATCCTTTCTAGGTGCTGGGGATAGAGCAGAATGTAAGAAAGGTAATGGAGCTTCCATTCTGGAGAGGACACAGGTAGAAAGGGAAGAACAGGTTTAGGTACCATTAAGTGGCATGAAGAAAATAAAGGGGGGCGTTACTCTAGAGTGCCCAGGTTGGGGGTGGGTGGGTTACTGTATGCAAGATGTAGGAATGCATGCCTGAGAGCATGACTTGAACTAGCACCTGAGTGAGGAGTCCGCCATGCAAAGATGCCAGAAAGAGCCTCTCCACAAAGGCTCTTGAGTGCTGCAGATGGGCTGCAGGACAGGGAGGCTGGTGTGGGGTGAGCAGAGGTGTGGTCAGAGAGACCAGCTGGGAGCCAGATTAGGGAGGGCTTTGTAGGTGACAAAGGCCGATGGGATGGGAAGCCATATAGACTCTTAAGCCTTACAGTAATATGATCTGGTTTATGTTTTAAAAGGTAACTTCCACTGAGAGTTATGGTGCATTTTTGTATTTAAACTTGACACTTAATCCTAGTTTGGAACACCCATTTATTTCAAGTCATAGTTAAAACAACAGGTCACTCTAGCAATAATGAAATGTGGAGAGTGGGTTTGAACTATAATTCTCAATTCATATTTAATTCTTATTTAACTGATGGGCCCTTATAACTAGATAGCATCTAAAACCTATCAGAGGAAGCCTATTGTTACAATACAGTTTCCCATAGAGTGGTCTTTTCATAAAGATTGTAATGGAGCAGAGGACATAATTTGCCTTTGAAATAGATGGCTAAAATAGAACAGAATTATCTTGTGTATTTGGTTTATTTTAGATAAGCTAGTGACTATCGCTACAGGTTCACAATCCCTTAACCAATACACATGCGTATTTCTGGTGCAAAATACATGAATATTCACTAAAAGAAAATAGCCATTAGTCTCATCAGTTTAGGCCAGTGTTTGCTGCTAACAAGTTTAAAGTGAGCTTATGAGACATGAGTATTCTGAGGGCGTGTGGAGCTCTGTCATTCTGTATTTCCTGGAGGACCAGAGAAACGTCAGCTCAGGGTTTTGGCTGACTGAATACTTTGGAGATGTATAAGCTGCTTAATGTTTTCCTTTTGCCTCGCAGTGCTGGTGGTGGTGTGCACATCGAGCCCCGGTACAGAGAGTTTCCCCAGCTCACCAGGTCCCAGGTGATCCAGGGCGAGTTCTTCAGTGCAACCATGTGGTTCTGGATTCTCTGGCGCCTTTGGCATGACTCCGATGCCGTGCTGGTAAGTGCGGGAGATACTCTCCTTTCTGTGGGTGGAGACAGAAGAAATATTAATAGCTTAGCTTGTTTGTTTGTTTTTCTGTGTGCAGACTGTTTTTCTAGCTGTGGTTTTGCTTTCCTCAGTTTTAGTCACCTGGGCCAATCAGGATCTGAAAATATTACATGGAAAATTCTAGAAATAAACAATTTATAAGTTTTCAACTGTGCACCATTCTGAGTCATGTGATAAAAATCTCATGCTATCCTGCTCTGTCCTGCCCGGTACCTGAACCGTCCCTTTGTCCAGCGTCTCCATGCTGTGTGCACTGCCTGCCAGTTAGTCACTTAGTAGCCGTCTCGGTCTCAGGTTCAGTCAGTTGTGGTATCACAGTGCTTTTGTCCTACTCGCCCTTATTTTACTTGATAGTGGCCCCAAAGCACAAGAGTGGTGATGCTGGCAGTGCGGATATGCCAAATGTAAAGTGCTTCTGTTTTTAAAAGTTTTTTAAAAAATTTACTGATTTTAGAGCAGGAGAGAGGAAGGGAGGAGAGAGAGAGAGAAACAAACACTGATTTGTTGTTCCACCTATTTATGCAGCCATTGGTTGCTTCTTGTATGTGCCCTGACCGGGGATCGAACCTGCAACCTTGGCTTATCAGGACGTCGCTCTAACCAGCTGAGCTACCTGGCAGGGGTAAAGTGCTTCCTTTAAGGGGAAAGGCATGTGTGTGTAGGAAAACGCCTTGTATGCCCAGGTTCAGTACTATCCACGGTTTCAGGCATTCACTGGGGGTTGTGGAACATGACCCCCTAGGATAAAGGGGGACTCCCGTACATCCCATCACCATATTGTCCTGTGTGGCTGCCGTAACCTTGTTAGTGAAACATCTCTACCCTTTTCTACTGAAGGGTGCACCTGGAGGTAGGCCATGTTTTATGTTTTGTGTTAGTTTGCGATATTTGGAGGGAGACTAGGTTTGTGTTAGTTTGCCATATTTGGAGGGAAAGTAGAAACTAATTCTTTTTTTTTCTCTTAAATATATCTTTATTGATTTCAGAGAGAGGAAAGGAGAGGGGGAGAGAGATAGAAACATCAATGATGAGAGAGTCATAGATCGAGCCCACAACCTGGGCATGTGCCCTGACCGGGAATCGAACCCTGATCACCTGGATCCTAAGTCAATACTTAATTGCTGAGCCACGCCTGGCTGGGCTAGAAACTAATTCTTTTACCTTCTGAACTCGAGGTTCATTGGTGGGTTAAGTTTCACACTTAAATTTTTTATTTTTAAAAATATATCTTTATTGATTTCAGGGAGAGGAAGGGACAGGGAAAGAGAGAGAGAAACATCAATGATGGTCATTGATCGGCTGCCTCCTGCACGCCCCGACTGGGGATGGAGCCCACAACCCAGGCATGTGCCCTGACTGGGAATCGAATCGAACCGTGATCTCCTGGATCCTAGGTCGATTCTCAACCACTGAGCCACGGCCGGCCGGACCACACTTAAATTCTCTGAATGATGTTATATAGTCTGTCTGGAAGCCCAAGGCAGCCAAATTGAGGTGGGATAGATGTGGACCAATTTGTCTAGAGGAGGGAAGGTAGTTACTGGTGACTTTCTCAGCATGTTTTTAGCTTCAACTGAGCTTTTATTGCATTTGCACAGACCCGTTTTCTAGGAAATGATGCCTTTAAGCCACTGAAATCTGTGCTTGCTCCAGAATACTTTGAATTTTAGTCAATTTGGTTTTGTTTTTAGGGTAGGAAAACCATATTAAACAGTGTACAAATGTTAGAAGCATCAGGTTAATACCCTGTTTCTCCTAGAACTTCTCTATGCCCTGTTGCCCAGTAAGGCGCTGCGTTGTGTCTGCACTGGCAGCACATAGGTACCTCTCTCATTGTAGGTCAGCTGTCAGGAGGATTTGTGGCTATTTGGTGTCAGACCACGGTGCAGCCAGGTGCCCCTAGATCGGGATGGAAGATGAACGAATCCACCCGAGGCTCCCAGGTCTCCCACAGGAATGACAGGGTAGTTTGTGACATTCATTGACTTTTGCCAGGGCTTCAAGACATTGTTGAGATGTGGGGTGTCTTTGAAATCTGTTGCCTCCATCCCCGCCGCCCGCCCTCACGTACACATGCTCAAACCCTGGCTCAGGCCGGTAGCTTCAAAATGGGCAGGCCTTTAGAGTTCAGGCCGCAGCTTGTATCGAACAGAACGAAGAACAGTTGGACCATGGAGTGAAGTGTAGGGTTTGTTCCTGTGGCTTGTCAAGGACTATGTATGTTACAGCCTTATCACATTCTTTCCCTTTCAGGATTTCTTTAAAAATGTACTTGTATGGAATATAGATCTTGACTATTTTTTTAAATGATGTCACCAGGGTCACTTTCCATATCCAGATCCTTCCCAGTGGACAGATGAAGAATTAGGTATCCCTCCGGATGATGAAGACTGAAAGTATGGACTCAACTCTTTACAAGTGGGTATGTCCCAAATTTCTTTTTTTTAAAGTTATATTTACCTTTTGTCAGTAAACATGTTTTGACTTTGTACCTATGATGGTCTTGAAGAAATACACATTTTCTAACAGCGTGAAGAACTACTGACTGTATCATGTGTCTAATTTGTGAATTTAGTATTTTCACATTTCCTACCCTCCCAACTCCCACTCGCCCCAATTTGGTCTCCCTTTTCATTGTATATTTTAAAAAAATTGTTTTTCCTATGTTACAATTTAGGGTCCCCGTTATCCATGAAAGGCTTTTAAGTACCAACTCTATACAGGTGTTACGGGGTGAACAAGATGGAAGCTTACAGTGTATGTTTGTAGTTGCAGAAGTACTGGTGTTCTGCCCTTAGCACTTACATGGCACTTTCAGCATATGGGGACGTTTATAACATGGATGTGCATGGACATGAACTCTTTAAACAGGAGGTTATGACCCTTCCACATTCCAGATCAGGACGTCAGTTTCCCTCCTTTCAAAAGGAAGGTACTCGGAGGATTTCCTTTCCCTGCAACCCCTCAGGGGTTAAGACATTCTCATTTAACATGTTTTTAAATTAATCATTGCACACTTTAATTGCCATCATTCAGAATGCCTTGGAAATTGTTTTAAAGGATAGGAAGCATTAAACGATAGTTGAATGTTCCCATTAAATTGTATTAATATTGCCTTTATAATTTAATTAGAAGTAGCTTGTTGACAGGAAAATTACAGCAGTTTTTGGGTAGGTAGGGAGGAGGGGGATGGGGCAAATGTCACCAAAGGGCAGGCAGTTAAGCTGTTTTACAGCTTGTATGTCTTGGTTTGTTATGGACAGTGAGAGGTCCCAGCCCTTCCCAGGCCTCCTGCTTCCCATGCTAATGTGTCTGCCAACACTGACCCCTTCCTATCCTCTTACAGATTTCCTAATATTCCCACACACAGTCATTAACATTTTTAAACAATATATCTTTAATGACATCAGAGAGAGGGAGGGGGAGAGACAGAAACATCAATGATGAGAGAGTCACCGATCGGTTGCCTCCTTCACGCCTCCTACTGGGGATGGAGCCTGCAGCCCGGGCATGTGCCCTGACCGGGAATCGAACCTCGATCTCCTGGATCCTAGGTTGATGCTCAACCGCTGAGCCACGCTGGACAGGCAACATTTGTTTTAATAACTGGACGATAAGCCCTTTGCAAGAGCAAGGTGATTTTGCTTCCCTCCCACACAATTGGTGCTCAGTGGATGCTGGAATAATTGAATGAATTATAGATTTGAATTCTTGAAAATAAAAGTACTTAAAGCTTTCCACTTTTGTTTTTCTGCAGGAGCCAGGTGAGAATTTCAAGAAATTACAGACTTCATTTTGTATATTGAAGTTGCGAATTAAAGTGTTTTGGTCATGAATGAGGAACTGAGTTGTGGATGTTGCTGATGACAACCACCCTCTATGGTTTATTTTCTGTGCCGACTGCTTCAGGCCCTTTCAGTGGATCCTCTTGGGTACCCCCATGGCGCATTTATCAGTGAGGACATTGAGGTTCAGGGGGACAGCGTAATTGCTTAGGGTCACTCACTGATGGGTGGTGACATTAAGTCTGACCCCACACTTTACACTGTCTTACCGCCTGCCTCCTTAGCTGATGTCTTAGACATAATCATACTTATATTGACAGTTAATGTGAAAACTTGCCATTTCTCTGCTGCTGGTGGATTCCTGCCCTGAGTGTACATAAGTTAGAGGTCAGGGCAGTCCATTTATTGTTTATCTCTCTTGTGGGTTGGGCACTGTTCATTGGCCATTTGTGTAACTCATAACGAGGAATTCTAACCAGGAATTCTTAGGGCTGGAGGAATGGGAGACAAGGGTGAAATGGGTATTTTACTTTTTCTAAAATTTGTTTTAAAGTACTTTCCAATTGTCTACAGCACCACAATTCTGAGAGTAGGTAGGACAGCATTTTCCTTTACCCACAGATAAAAATTTGCAGTATACAGTGGCTTAATGACTCGCCTGTTTAAGAGTGAGCTGTCTGAGCTGGTAAATATTTAGTCTAAAAGACCATAGAGCCCTGGCTGGTTGGCTCAGTGGTTAGAGCAGCCTGCGGACTGAAGGGTCCTGGATTCAGTTTCGCCCAAGGGCATGTACCTCAGTTGCAGGCTCGATTCCCGGCCCTGGTCGGGGCACTTGTGGAGGCAACCATCGATGCATCTCCCCCTGCCCCGCCCCCATACTGGATTCTCTTTTTCATAGTTGGGCCTGGAAACCAGTTTGAGCTGATGGAGAAATTGTCCCCAGTCTTCTCTCAAAGGAAGGGCCCTCCACCCTGCTGTTACAGCTTATGGGAAAATACTTAAGTGGAGAGGGTCCCAAAGAGATGCCTAGCACATTTGGTGGATGGTTATATATGGTTAATAATAGCTAAAACTTACTGTAGGCCAGGCACTGTGGTCAGCACTTTACAGGTGTTAATTTATTAAATCCTCACATTCTTCCCATTTTATAAATGAAGTTGAGCTACAGATGGGTTGGGTAACTTGCCCAAGCTCATTCGGCTGTTAGAGAGCTGAGGTTCAGGTCCTGGCTGGCTGGCTCTAGGTTAAGTCAGCTCATCTCAGTACAGCCTGGTGTAAACCTTTCCATGGCCTACTCTAAGAAATAATTTTACGTTGCGGCCTGAAATATAAATTACATATATATGTATAAAATCTAAAAGTTTGATGAAATAGTACTTACCTGTGATGCACTCTGATTTTTTTAATGTACCTTAAAAAAACTCAGGCTTTGGAGGCAAGCTTGTGGACTAACAGACAGCTCTACCATTGACTAGCTGGGACTTTGGGCAGATTATTTGATCTGTGCCTCACTTTCCTCATTTGTAATGGATTATAACTAGATTAAATGGGTTAGCACATTAAACCCTTAAAATTATACCCGGCATGAATGAACTACTAACTGGAAAGAACTGTTATTTCTAGACCACTGTGTCTAAGCTAAGTTTACATGACCCCTCAATCCCAGTTTGATTTTTATAGAAAAGCCTCCAAATGAAGACAGACTCACCTTTAATCAGACATCCCAGCAGATGCAGTGCCTTCCCTCCCCTCCGCCTAAAACAAGACAGACATTTAGGATGTCTCCCTTCCTAATGAGCCAACGGTGCATTCAGAGCCCGTTTTAGGGTGTGCCTGGCAGGCGGAGAGCTGTACCTTCCTAAGTGGGAAGGCCACTGGTGAGGAAATTGACGGCAACAGAGATCAGCTGTCAAAGTTTAACACAAATTTGTAACTTAGTTTTCTGTTGGAAACTTGGGGTTACCTAATAAAGTGTGTGGGGGGAAGGTACTGTATAAGGAACACCTGCCATAAGCATGTTACAGGAAGAGACAGAGGTCCTCTTGGTTCCACTTGCCACTAGGACTATTCTGTAGAAGAGGTCGACCTGGCTGCCTGCTGCCACCCTCTCATCAGGAGTGTCGTCGGAACTAGTGTGCAGTGGAGGCGGCCGGGGCTGCTCGATCCGCTTCAGCAGCTGGGCCTTTGCCTTTTGTCACCTACACAAGCAGTGGCCTGTCTCATTAATGAAGACAGCGGGGGCAAGTGGAGTATGCTCTGTACAACATCCATTTCTAGCCACAAACTCAAAATCAACACCCGTTCCTATCCCAACTTCGTTACAGGCGTCATGACCACCACAAAATGGTATCACAGAGTACTGATCTTGGAAACAAAGTCCCGACTGAGTCCTGGCTCTGTGAGCCCAGGCGTCATCCTTGGGGCTCCAGTCAGTAACTGCGACGAGACTTGGACCAGGTTATCTGTAACTCTGTCTAGGTGAACTACCTAACCCAGACAGTAGATCCAGTTGCCACAGCTTCTGACAGAATTTCAGAAAAGCCAGTGTGGTAGGATTCTTTATAATAGGATTTTATCACAATAATTATAACATTCACAATTCTGGGCTAAATTTTAAGGAAAACCTCTTATGGAATAATACATTCTTTAAAAATAAGGTCATGATTGTAATCATGTATGAAGGTTATTTAGAAATGAGTTTCTAAGATGTTTATATTCCAGAATCAAACTTTTTAGATGAGAAAACTGCGGTTCTGAGAGCATACTTAAGTCTGGGCAGCATTTTATGATTAGTTGGAGGGGCATGAAGATCAGAAACCAGATTCCACAGATACGCAACACCTGGAAGACTTTTCTGTTCCTTCGCATTGTTCTCAAATGTTGTTTTTCCAGAAGTTTCAAAATCATTTGCTTCTGGAAACTTTCCTCAGTAATTTGACATAGTTTGAAGATACTATAGGTATCTTTTAAACTTCGAGTACTGAAATCAAATGCACAAAATTAACTCTTTGGGGTAGCCAGCATTTAAAAAAATAAAATAAAAAAACATAGGTGCGTATTTTCATATATATATATGTTTGTGTGCACATTCTGTGTTCCTGTAGAAAATGTATTCTTGGAAGTTGTGTCAAAGTTTGAAAGCTCCAGCCAGGCTCCTTAATGACTCAGTTACAGCATGCACGCCAGCTGAGCCCTGGGAGGGGAAGTCAGGTCCCAGAATCAAAATACTTGGTCATCACTACAGCTGTGTAGCCAGCACAGCGTAGCAGGCATCCATCACTTTTCTATACTGTTTCTTCCATAAGTAACTTCCACTCACCAAACAGTCGGCATTATACGTGTGAAACAAAATGTACACTTCTCAGGCCCTCCACTGCCTGAAGAACTGTCAAAACCCTACTTGTTACTGGATGTGACAGTGCTAGAAAAAGAATGTTGATAAAGACTTCTCCATGCAGTCAATCTTTATTATAGCAGTATTCGCATATTCACATCAAGTACATAGAACTTTTTTGCCTTTTATATAATACAGAGTTTTTAAATAACTTTACACAGAAATAAATTTCTTCAATCTGAGTTTCAGCTATCTTTTTATTTAATTCTTCATGCTTTCTATCCAAACTGAACAATATTTTCCATTGTACAAATTTACATGAGAAAAATTCCAAAGTACAAATGAAGGGACCTGAGCAGGAAAGAGAACCAAAGTATCAAGAAGTAGGTTAGGGGAAGAATTGAACAACAACAACAGAAGGTTCAAGCAAACACTGAGGATAAGGGGACAGAGGGAGACATCATCCATTCGACTGAAAATAAATGCCTTTTTTATGAATTGAAAAATAAGTTTTAAAAATAGTTACTCCATAATTTTTGCAAAGCAGGTATAGAGAGGTCTGTGGACCACTGAAAAGTCCCCATCTTTTCCCTGGGCACACCCCAGCATAAGAACCTTGTCAATGCTCGAGTGGGACTGAAGGGAACTAAACTCGCACCTTTGGCAGCGAGAGAGGAATGTATGTGAACTGCCATAGGTCTGGAGTGGTAAACCTGGAGCCATGAGTTCACCTCAGTTAAAACACAAAGGGTTTCCCTTTCCTCTCCCTTACAGAAGAATTGTCCTCAAACCATGAAGGTAAATGAGAAGGGGGTGATGTCCTTTGTCTTGGTCTAAACCAAAAAGCAATCATAACTACTATATAGAATGCAAAGGAACATGTTGGTAAATGGTCAGATTCAATCCCGATCAGTTGTACGCTCCTGTATTGGAAGCAGAAATTGCTGAGTGAGGAAACGGCCGAGTGTACAACCAACAAGAGAGATTACCACAAAAACATACCACTGTGACTGTCCTTCCAATCAGGCGACATCATGAAGGCCAAACCGAGACTACGATGTGTGGCATGGCCAAAGGAAACAGGACCAGATGATGCATTTTCAGATGGAGGAGGGAAAGGTCCAGCGCACAGCCCCGTATGTAAACTAATGTGACATGAAGTTAAGTAAGACAGGAAGGCTAGCCACTTACGTTGGTAATTAACGTGAATAAAAAGGCATCATGTTCCCACAGCTGGTTTTAAGCAGCTGTGCTCAGAGCATACACACATGTATAAGGAAGGGAGGATTTTTTTAAAAAACCGTTCACAGCTTAGAATAAAAAGCACACTTATTGCACTCTTACATCTTATTTCAGATAATTATGGTTTATTTCCCACCCTCACATCAAACTTTCCCTACCCTCAGGCTTACTCCCACCCCCTGCCCATCCTATTTGGTCCGTTTTCTCTATATTTGTGCCTAGCCTGTGAGCTTTGTTGCTTATCCTAGTCTGAAGTTTCCTCCTATGTAACTCCTACTCCACAAACACACATGGGTTAAAAAAGCTTAATACACAGATGCAACACAGTAATTTTCCAAAGAAAACCAGTACTAAGCAACTTACTCATAATCCCCACCTGCACCCTTGTAACCAGAACCCTTCCCCTGCCGCATCTCCTAAGGGAAACCCACGCGAGAGTCCCCGCACCGGCACCGTGATGAGAACCAGTGCTCACGGGTGCTGGACAACCTGCCCTGCCGCCAGGAGGCGCAGACAGTTTGCACAAATCCTTCATTTTTTTGATACTAACATGAATAAACATATTTCAGTTCTTTGTCTTAAAAGAGTATTTCAACCTATAGAATTCTTTTAAAAAATGCATCACACACACACAAAAAAAATACACTGGCTGTGTCCTCATGCACAACTGGTTATACCATTGTAATTAGTCAAAACAGCTAAATAAAATTAAACATTTTAATAAAACCGATTCAGTAAATCAATAAGACTAAATTAACAGTTGAGGTTGTGATGCTGAAATAAAAGATCTACTTAAACATTTTTTGAGGTGGGGACTAACTGTCCCTATGCATTTTAAAATAAAGCACTGTTACCTTAATTTAAGATTTTAGGACTAAGTTTTTCTCTTTTACCTTAAAAATATCTGATAGGAACGGTTAATTACCCTTTCTACAACTGAGAACATTTAGGACTGAATTTCAATGTAAAGGTCTTTGCCCACACAGAAGTAAAAATAAGTTATCTGAAAACAACAAAACAAAGCTTAGCTTACTGTCTAGTGTACTGATATAAAACAATCTCACCAGCGTTTCCAATTTCACCGGAGCTCGCAACACGGAACATGAGCACACCGGCCGCTACACACTCCGGCAGCAGCGCTGCTGCACCCTCCGGGCGCAACCACCGACGGGCCTCAGCAACACACCTTAGTGAGACACCTTAGTGAGAACACGCTGTGACAGCCCTTCTTGGGGTGGCGAGGAATGAAGATACAAGCGGCTTACCCTGGAGCGGGTCCAGTTCATACCCGCAGCCAGGTCATTAATATTCCACTGCCTCCGCATAAAGGAGCCCTGAGACCCCACTGCCCCCACAGCGCCCCCAAAAGCATTAGCAGCACAGTCCAGCTTAATTTGCCAACCAGTCCTGGAAGGTAAGTTTGTATTTCAACCTCTGAAAAATCAGCATCTAGGTTGGCAGCAGTATTCTGGGAACTGATACAATCTAATTCTGCCCCACATCTTAATTTCCTTCCCCCTTCTCACTGTTCACACACATGACTGCTGCCCAGCACAGTACTTCAACCTTGAACTACAATTTCTTAAAACATCTGTCAAATATTTCTGTTATATAAAAGTTCCATGCTTTGTAGAACCTATGGGAGTAGAAAAAGTTTCTCTAGAAATGTCACTGAACTATAATTTCAACCTATTTGCTCTATGTGATAAATATATCTGACTATACTAGGGATTATGTGCTTTAAAAAAATAATTTTGTTCACTGAAAATTTACCTGTGTGTTTTTTCATTTTTTAAATGTGATTTTGGCTATAAACTCTTTAGTGCATTTATCTTTGCAGTCTAAATTGCACTCTAAAAAATATGAACACAGCTGAGTTAGACCAGAGTGGCTGCTCTCTTCGCAAATCACCGATTTCTGCTAAAATTTTAGCTTTTTTATTGCATCATGAAGGCACAGTAAGATCATTTGGCAAATTGTCAAGGTATTATTCTAGAGCCTCACCTACACCATTTTAACCAATGTATGATCCAGAAGCTATTTCCTGTTCAGCCTCACAGTAAGCCTCCGTGTCCTGCTACGTGTGTGTTTTTAGCCTAGTGGCTGGAATCTGCCAGTCTCGAGAGGTGCTGCTCTTCTAGCACTAACCATGCCAACTTGGACAAGAGGGGGACCTTGAAAGACGGGCAATCGTTCCCCATCCGCTGAGCTGGGCAGTCCGCCGGAGTGCCTGTGCACGTGACAAAGCTGTGGCTAACTCATTAAGGTGTACTGTCCTGCCAAACCCACTGAAAATTAAAATTATATCATTGTTAGTGCAGTGATACCATACTCTTTAATATCATGCAACTGACCTACGGTTGAGATTCTGAAACGTACCCTACACAGGTTCTGGCACCACCTGCAACAACGTTCAGACGCTCCGAGCTACATTTTCAGTATTACTGCTTAAATGTATAATGCCCTTTAGGACAAAATGAGAGCGCTCAAATATAAGCACACACAAAAGTTAAAATCCTAAATCATCTTCATGTTCTAGAGCTCCTGACTTCATATTTAAAAATAAATAACTATTCATTACCTCATTCCGAGGAGGTAGTTTTTTTGAAGAGGTCACCTGAACTCTGCGGTATGTTTCAAACTAAAGCTACATGAGGTTTGCCCGAGGCGGAGGGTGAATGTACAGGACGGGGGTGGGGTGAGGGCTGCGGAGGGGTGTGCAGTCCCGATGAATAAAGGTAACCGTATGACAGAGAGCTGTGACCACCCCCAGGAGAACCTGGGAAATATTTACAGTTTCCGGTGGACAGTGCTGAAATCTTGAATTCTCTTTATACTAACTATATAGTGTCCTTTCTTCTCCAACACCAACATGAATATAACATGTATACTTTATATATATGATTTTATCTTCTAGGATGTCCCAGTGTGTCCTACAGATCTCACACACACTCAGGGACTGCATGTTCAGGAACCAGACTTTGACAGCTAGACAGAGCCTTCTTTTAAGGTGCATGTGAGTATAAATAACCACACTGGATTTTTCTATTCACAAATCCCTTTTATAAACTACTTGTTGGTCTATTATTTCACTGGCTAAAGTCTAGATCCTAGACTTTAGTTTAAAGATTTAAAAAAAAAAAAAAGCCCATCAGGAATACTGTATCTTTTAAAACAATCTTCTATGGTTGTTCTCAAATTTTTCAGAAGGCTTCACCTTTCCTTACCCCAAATAAAACGCCCAACAGAAGGCACTGCAGCCACCTTACAGAAAGACAGAATTACCACCTTGCAAGACAATCAGTGAAGCAGCCACACACTATCTATACAAATTCTCATAAAGTGCTTAGCACATCAAGGAGTTCCTCCTTGCATTCTTAGGAGCTCGGCAAGTTTATCTGTAGTTAAACATCAAACAGTAAAGCAAGTGAAACCCAGAGGGAAACCCCTTTTTCATGTCAATTGTAAACTAGACAAAAAACAATTGACAGAAAAAAGGAAGAAAAGGGAAATTTTCCAATCTTATTTTTATTTTTGAAGGGCTCTATACAAATTTCTCAAGAATACGCTGAGCCTGGCTTCTGGGCACAGTCACTTGAGATCAAGTCTATTTCTCCTTTTCAAATGAGACAGCAACCTATTCAAAAAAGAAAGGGGGGAAAAAAGTGTATCACCTTGAATTTTACGTGGAAAACTCCAATGCTGAGCTTCGTCCAGAACTAGTTCCTGTGCTGGCTCCTGCTGCCCAGGTAGCCCTGCACCTCTGCCTACTCAGCAGACTGCCTCTAGTTTAAGCCTGGCTCTCTGCAGTCTTGGTAAAGGGAACACAAGCATGCTGAAAAGCATCCATGGGGACATATTAGAAAGAAAAACAGACAATGCTTTTAAAAGAGGCAGCATCACACACACAAGATGCTCTTCCAATGAGCACACAACATTTCTATCTTTGCAATTTCTGCATTTTGTTAAGATACTGCTCTGCTTATGTAAGAATGAAGAACACGTTGCTTTTCAAACTCACTAATAACTTCAGTACATTTTTCATTCCACTGGGACAACCTTTTACAAGTCCATGGAATTTTCAGTAGGTCTTCCTGTGAATACAGGTATTTTAGCAAAAATCAACTACTGGCAGCGAGCTTTAATAGGCTGAAAGATAGCGGGGGAGTCGCAATCTGAAATTTTAAAGTAACAATTTCTAATTCCCTGATTTATTTTATAGGTCCTGTCCAGTTTCTTTCAGATCCTTGGCTACCTAGCTTGGTTGGGCTAAGTACATTTGATTTACATTACCAAATCCTGGTAAGAGATTCTACACTCATGATAGGGGAGGTATCTGCCATTAACATGTCCAGAGACACTTTCTTTGTCACTCCTGTGACTTACACCACCCTTTAGAAAAGGCCAAAGGAGGCTATGACTAGGTTATATTTTCCATTTACACAAAGACAAAGAATGAGGTTTTTAATATCACAGCAGCTCTTGCTATAAAAACAACTGATGTGAGGCCTCACACATCCTCTTAGTCCCAACACGCCTAAAATTGCCGTATTCTCTGCCTGGGGAACTCAGCTGCCAAATTACCCAACCTTTTGAAGACCAGGCTTGGGGAAAAAGGAAAAAGAAGAGTGAATGGAGACACCACTGTTTTTATTTTAGGTTGCATATTCTGGATAAAAGACTACAAAGAGAATGAGCATGTAGTGTAAGAGTAAATGGGAAGAAACGATGAGTTATTAGCAGAGATGTTAGTGTGGATCCAGCAAGTACCATTATTTAAAAATTATAAATATTTGTCATACGCTAAGACTCCCCATATTTAGGTAGAGAAAAGGAGAATGATTTTTCTTTAAAAGTGGTTTATATAACAAAAATACAATTTTCCAGGGTATATAATTCTAATGGGAAGTATTCTTTTATTCCAATTCAATTAAATCTGAAAATTATTTTCTTTTCAATAAAAATATAATAGAAGAAACTTAGAAATTAAAAGCTGTACCTTACATTTAAATTACACAAATGTCTCACATTCAAAACTGTTATCGAGCAGTTTTGTAGGTATAATTAGATACCACCATGGCATTTTTGTGCCTTGGACAAAGTAGCCACGTAAGTACTTGGTGACTGGAAGAGCTTAGGAGGAAGGTTTTCCTGAGAACTTGCTATATTGTGGAGGGAAAAAAAATCCCCAGGCCCTTCTCTTCATTGCTGGACCCAATGAGCAAAGAGGCAATGTGTACCAGCACTTTCCAGCCTGCTTGCTAGGCAGATACCCTCAGGGAGCAGGGAAACAGAAGGCCAGAAACCCAGGTCAGGAACAAGATGCAGCATTCCCTTTCCCTCTGCACCAAAACATGGCTCCGCTTCCCTCATCCTCCGTTTAAATAAAATAGCTTCATTTTGATAAAGCCCTGTCAGGGACTGAACGTGCACCACACAGATGGGGCATGCTGCATTTTTGTTCCATCCCTCAGAAATGAACCAGTGGCGGCGAGGGGAAAGAGCTCCACAGCAGAATCCCAGAACAGGAAAGAGACGGTGCTTGGTGATTGCAACTGCCCCATCAGATGATCAGCACACATCGACCTGGTGGTTAGAAGGGCACAGTCGACCGGCAGGCTTTCCCAAGCTGTAGCAGCAGTTTCTTTCCATCATGCCTGACCGTCAAAAGGTCAGAACTCAGGGTCTCTCCTCTTTCTTCCTGGGACTGGGCAGACTTGTATGCACGTGGTGTTTGTGTTGCAGAAGAAACACTGGCAGCAGAGAATTCTGGTTCCTAAACATTCTTCCCTCTTTTCTTGGATGGGAAGTCCCACTCTGTTCCACACCAGCTTAGCACTGACAATTTTGTATCTTTAAAAAAAGATCTGAGGAACAGAACTGTGTTTTGATGTTAACAAATTGTACGAACACAAGACTTAAGAAATAAGAGTAGATGCTGCCATGATGGTGTGGCTACTTGAAGGCTGCAAATTCTCCTGTAGAGGGAGGACAAGAGCTAGTTTTAAAAAAGTTTTCTCAATTAACCTAGACACACAGAAAAGCCTCATTGAAACCTCACTGAAAGATGACTAGCTCCTATTACAATCTAGCATCATCACCACTAATTTAAAAAGCAAAAATGGCTGAAACTGTGAAAGAAGGTAACTTACATAGTACATAGAGTTCAATTACATCAATTAAGTATCAAGTTTGCAGATAATTTCCTAGTTGGGTTTTACATGCTATGGTTCTAATCAAGCTGAAAATAGTTCCAATGAACAAAATAACTCAGAAACTGACTGTAAAACAGTAAGGCTGATTTGCCCCTGAATTATAAGCTTGTTTCATTATAATGCCACTATTAGAAAGGAAGCAGCAAAAATTATCCTCATTTTGCAAAAGATAAAAAAGAAGAGATCAAATGACTTGTCCACATTACACATGACAGCAGGAAAGAAAATCCAGGCTCTCCATCTTCTCGTTCATTTCACCTTTTAAACTACCAACAAATTACATACAGGCACGTCACTGGACATCATTCTCAGCACAAGAATTCTGTCTGAAGTGTGACACTCCTTTAGCTTACTGAATTTGGAGGCTTCACTGGGGGGCCATTATTTTTCACCTGCCATTTTGTCCACAGCTTCTACTTGTAACTGGAGGTCGGTTCCTCTTATTATATACACTATAGTTAACTTCTGGGGGGTGGTTAATAATTGAGAACTACCAGAATTTGGCCAGCCTTAACATCATTTTTCAGTAACAGCAGCTTCTGATGAGGAACCAAGCAATCGTTTACATGAATACACTACTTAACCCAGGAGTAACCTACTCATTTTTGGCCTGCCATTAGATTCTGTTTACTAGAGAACACTCGCACGTTCCAGCAGCCAACAGGTTGCTAATAGCTGGCTGACTGGGTCCTTAGACTGAATGCTGCTAATATTAGCAATTAGTTGAGTACCTGCTATATATCAGGTGCCTCACTGAATACTTCACATGTTTGCATCTGATCCTCATAACTCTACGAGGCAGGTGCTATTACTTCTCTGTATCTTACAAAGGAACAAGCTGGGGTTTACAGTGGTTAACTTGTCCAAGATCTCACAGCTAGAAAATGGCAGAGATGGAATGCAAAGCCAGGTGCTGACTCCAAAGTCCAGGGTCTTAACAATTAACAAGCCCCTAAACTATTTTCAATAATTACTAATTTGTTTTCCCATTCTGGTTACAACTACGAACTGGGCTGCAGATAATGATACTATCTCTTTTCATCTAAAGATTCCTTTAAACAAGCAATTAGTCAAGATACTGGGAGCCAAAAGATCAAGGAAGAGTAAAAGAATTATTACCTCATATTTAAATTTAAAAGGACTAGGAAATTTGCACCAATAAGAAAAATAGCCAAATTACTAAGACCTTGGAGAGAAAACATTTAGAGCATAACCATAGGACAATATTTTATTAACAGAGACTCAATAAATATATGAACATTCCCGTTATGGTCTGAGTACCTTATGGTTTTAAGGTTGCTATTTTTTTTCAGTATTTTAATACATTTCTTAAAAGCAATTTTCAACATTCTTATGAGTAGTCACTGTATCTAGCAGAATCTAAATCTCATTAAAGGAAGCAAATGTAAAAACAGGATTTACCTAACAGAAATCTTTATAAAAAAATGGCTAGACTTTGTCTATTAAGTGAGAATATCAGAAAATGGTAACTCTAAGCCAAATCTTATATATTACATTAAAATATAACCTGACCATCAAGAGGTCAGGTTATATGAAAAAATCTTTAATGTTTCTTATTTATCAGTACAACTTAGACACTCCATTTTCTTGAAGTGCTCTACTCTACAAACTTCAATATTAACCTTAATAATGAAAAGCCTTAAACAACCTCCCAAAAGCACAAAAATCTTACCAACGCAGTCCAAATTGACTACCAATAAGGCAAACACTACCCATCATCCTACCCGAGCCCACTGCTTCTAATGAAATACAGTTCTTTTCATATTCAGACTTCAGGTCCAGGAAAAAACAAGGGCAAAAAGAAGGGATCAATAATCCTGAAGAAATCTAAGAAAAAGATGGGGTTAACAAGTGATAGATCTGCTTTTTGGGGAAAAAAATATTTTCTTGCTTATTCTTTCCTGCATTATCTGGAAATCTCTATTAGCCCACCTCCCGCCCTATTTTATTTGAAGTATGAGTCAATTTTGCTTGTGTGAAGTTATTTGAAGTGAAGTACCCAGACACTCTGTGATTTAAAAAAAAAATCTCGGTATATCATTTTAATTATTAACTGAAAATTCAATGAAAGGCCAAAAAGAAACTTTTTTTTTTTTAACCTTGTTTCTGGTTGAGAAGAACCTAAGCTCAATTTTCCATTTGACTTTATTTAGGAATAGGGCAGAGACACTTGGGAAGACCCTGTGATTTTATTATTTTATTTATTTATTTTTGCATGTTGGGGCCCGGGTTTCACCTTCCCACATCAGGTGGGTGGTGAGCTGAGGCGCCATGTGGCTCTGAGCACCAAATCTCACCCACAGCTACCGCCAAAGCTGTGATTTTCAACCAACGCTGAGACCCTGTGATTTTAGACACCTCAAATATCATGGTTTTATTTGAAAACTATGGATTTTATTAACTAGTTTTAAGATATTACAAAATAACTACATTTTATTCCAGAATTGAATGTATTTTTCAGTGGCTGTTATACATATAATTTGATAAAAATTCCCCTGAATGAGAAAATATGCTATGAAAAGTCTAGTAATGTTATTTTGTACATAAATCAATCAGTGCTTTAGATAGAGGGGGCAGTCATTTATAACCAGAATAAGCCCCATTCTTTCTTTGTGGTAATCTTTCAGGCTGTTTCAAAAGGATGAAGAACACTCTGGCATAGACACACAGGATTTCTTAAAATTCTTTAGAGAAATGACCCCAGAAGAGATGAAACACTTAGTAAAATAAAAAGTGCTATAGGAATGCTCAATAATTCTCAATTAAATAAGGCTATGACTGACAAAATGCTTTAGTCATGAAGCACCCATATCATAATACTGTATTAAAAAAAAAAAAAAAAAAGGTAAATCATTTCCTTAAATTGAGAAAGTGGCCAACTGGAGAGAAAGGCCAAGTAAGCCGGTGTGTTAAACAGATCCTATTTAAGAGAGGACGATTTTAACTACTGGCTTAGTATTTAAATGGCTAGTACGATACTGTAATATCAGGAAATAAACAGACCTGAAACATTTTAATAGATGCTATGATACCTTAAAATGAAAAAGACAAATCTTATTTCTCATCATTGACTAATAAAACTTCCAAAGTGTGAAACAAACTTTATGAAAAGGCTGCTTCTAAAAAAGGAAACCAACATCAATGAAAACATGTGAGGGCCCAGGTTTTAGGAGAGAAGTCACAAGAGAATGAGTGTCCTGTTGCAATGACCTAGTTAAAGTGATTAACTTTACATATGGTTAAGAAAATAATGTTTTTCTTTATTTGGAGAATATATCTAAAACTCAGTATAAAACAAACAACAGAAAGGGAAACTACCATATGTCATGCTAATGCTTCCTACTTCTCCAGGTCCATGTTATCTCGGCATCTCACCTGCTGCTGTTAATGTTCTTCCACTAACATTTCCAGTGGGCCCCATTTGGAAAGAAAATAATTACTATGAGACCCTTTGGAGGTAGGTTTCAATGTTTACTGAGTAGCAGTTCTAAAAGCTTAGCAATGAATGCCCTCTGGCAAAAGAGACTGACCAAGGAAGGAAGGGAAGGATGCAGATGCTGGGGGACTGGAGGACTGGGCAGGCGGAAAGAGAGGGTAGAGAGGAAGGGGAAGGGCAAAAGCACACTGGGGAATTACAGAGAGAGCCCTACCAATCAAGAGCCTTTGACTCCCGTGCCTCCAGATGGTCTTGGAGCCCTCCACAGAGCAAGTCAGCCTTGCTAGCTACTTGCCTGCTGTCCAATTGTGAATAAAGCCCACTTAATAATTACTAATAATCATCTGTAGTCACTGCAGGATTTAGAAATCGTGCACTTTGATGTTTCCCGACATGTTACAGTATCTTGTCTTTCTTATTCTTTCAAATACAAAAAGAGTTTTTTCCCACTACTGTTCCCTAAAAGTGAAAACCATGAATCAATTTCTAAAAACTTGAACGGCATTACTTATCTTACGCTACCCAAATGAGGGGCAAAAGTTATGGCACACTTATCACTGAGTGGTTTTCCTGGATGAAATCTAACCTATTCAAATAAAAAAAGTATTTAAAAAACTTGTGATACTTAAAAACTAAGTTATTATTAACTTAAAGTCTTTCCAATTTTCATCTTTACTGGCTTCAGAGGACAGAATTTATGCGAATGCTGTCCGTGTGCCTGAATACCTCTTAGTTGTCGGCTGTATTTAAAACCAGCACAAATCCAAATCGAATAAATGAGGATGCACTGAAGAGGCTGACGTTGGTCCCTAGGCTGACTCTGAAGCAGAGATGGCAATTTTTTTGATAAGGGGACAGCAATGCTGCTTCCCAGTAAGATTGTGGTTCACAGCAAGAATACACTGACTGCCACATTACAGTAATTTTCTACGTAAGACAGTGTAAGCATTAGAAAGCGCTAATAAATACTTTGCACCATGGAACACACACAAAAAAGAATGGTGTTCATTCATAATAAGTAGAATTGCTGGACAAAGGATATAAGGAGCATGGAAATTTTATGAGGCACATGGATAAGGTGATTGCTAAAACAGGCATCACAAGAGGTAAGATAATTTAAAGTAATAATAATTTAAAAAAACTCCATTACCTGGTGTTTGGAAACCAGAGATATCTAAAAAAAAGTAAACCTCAGAGTTCTCACAGGATTCTGTGAATATTTTTTGGGGGGAGGGAGCAGTGAATTTATAAGGAAGTTTGCTTTTATGTAAGATATCTTTAATATATAAAGACACATCTAAAAGAAACTCCAATTTATAACATTTCCCCACTAAAAATCAAAGTTAAACCATGTTACTCATGTCAAACATGCTATTCCTCAGCAACAGCTTCAGTTACTTGCACCCACAGTTTATAAAAAGAAATTTAGTCTAGTCTATTGCTTTAAGGGAATAAAGGACATTCACACTTTCCAAACTATAATAAAAAGAGATAGTTACAAGAAAAATATTAAGAATAAAAATAAGCTTATTCAAGTTTAGTGACTTCCTGAATGTGATCTGTCTCGTTTGCCTAACCTGACACAGCCTAACCTGCTGTCAACCTTCCACTGCACACATATACAGAGTGCTGCTGTTCTTGGGAGACCCTAACAGACGGGTGGCAGCTAATGACAAAAGGTACATGGGAAAAATTTAATTGAAGTTTAATAATTAGAATAACCGAGTAAACAAAACAACCTTGGGACAGGAAGTAAAGCATCTGGAAGAGGCATTGCAAATTTTTAGCAATGTCTATGCATTTAAAAAACCCTTGGATGTTAAAAATCCAATGCTAGGTATGAATTTTAGATCAGAAAAAATTACATCCAGTCTTTAAACACATAAGTGTTCTTTGGCTCACCTTAAAAAAAATTCCTATTCAATTTAACAAACATATATAAGCAAACATATGTTCAATATAAGCAAACATATGTGCATTTTCCTTTGTCCCTACCCTCCTACACTCTCACACATATAATATGTTTCAGTGGACAGGAAACGCACCATATCCCCCTGCCTGGATGGGTGTTTTTGGAGAAGCACAAGCATACAGACTAAAATCCTCTGTTTGGAAGCCAGCCCGATTCAAGGAGGGTTCTGATGCACTGCGGTGAATTTTTGGCAATGAGCGGGCCAGCAGCTCAATAGAGGCGAGAATCTGGAAAAAAAAAAAAAAGACAGAATGAAAATCTAGGTGGTATTAACCTTTAAGAGCCCCATCATAATTTACAGTAAAGTACCTGAAATCTTACAGTGTTTTCAGTATTATTCTAAATGCTAGAAAAATATTTGAGAAACTGATATTTTTCCTTAAAAAGAAAATTATCAAACTACTACAACTTTAATCTCTGTAAAATGAATGGGGAAAGTCACCCATAATTAGCTTTGATTTACATTTTAGATCATTTGTCAGCCTTGAACAGTAAATAATAAAAAATTTTAAACCAATTACATGCCTATTTCTCACAGATCACAAGTCTGTTTTGGGAAGATGGGAGCATAAATGAGTAAAGCACTATGTGACCTCCTAACAGAACCATCAGAGCAACTCTGTCTTTAAAGAAACTTAGTAATGGGAAATGTTCTACACACATTATTAAACGTATGACCCCAAAGACCCAGACTGCTAGTGGCATACAAGTGTGAAGTGACAGGTGAGAACCCAAGAGAGGAGGAGAAGACAGGAAAACTCACCATAGAAATTCAGCGTATTTTAAGGTATAAAGAAACAAGTTATGACTCTTCAAGGCATACAGTGTGGTAATGTATGAATGTAATCATGAGACATACGTATAAAGGGCTTAGCACAATGCCTGGCATATAATAAGTACTCAATAAAACTTTAGCAGCCATTATTATTTTTCTGAGCTACCAAAACTTTTTTTTCTTCTTCTTTTTAAAATTGGGTAGCCAATTGGATTTTTAAGTTTTGTAACCCTTGAATTTTTTTTTTTTTTTAAATGTATCTTTATTGACTTCAGAGAGAGGAAAGGAGAGGGAGAGAGAGAGAGAGAAACATCAATGATGAGAGAGTCATTGATAGGCTGCAGCCCGCAACCTGGGCATGTGCCCTGACAGGGAATCGAATCCCGATCGCCTGGATCCTAGGTTGATGCTCAATTGTTGAGCCACGCCTGGCTGGGCCAAAACTCTTTAAAATTAAACTATAATCTGTATAATGATTAGTATAAAAAGGTGAAAAAGCAAGCAATGTTACAAATTTTTAAAAATTACAAGCATAACACACAAATAAAAGTTCAAATAACAGGAAAAGTATAAACCCTTCCTTCCAGGGGTAACCACTGTTGAAGAGTCTATACTTTCTTTGGGACCCTTCCTTTGCATAACATGCACATATGGAAACAGCTCACCTCCACACTCACCACCATTTAAAGTGGTATCCCACACATCTCTGGCTGTGTTGCTTTTTCCCTGTGATATCCATGCCATCTACAGAGCTACCTTGATCTCTATGTCTTTGATTTTCCCTTTTACATTCAAACATTCCTGTACGTATCTGAATACTTGTGGAAGCAGATTCTGTAGTACAGGTTTTCAGGAGTGAAATTATCAGAGCAAAGGGTATATGTAATTTAAGTTTATGGATCCTACCAAGTCCCTTCTAAAGGCCCAGTCAATTTACATGCCACCAACACTGTTAAACTTAAAGGGAAGGATCTTCCTCCATTCCCAGCATGTTCCCCATGCTGGCTACTGCCAAGCTGAGGGGCAAAATCAAAACACATTTCACTACTGTACTGTTCTGCATTTTAATGACTATCACTGAACTCTAAACATTTAGGCCTAAGTTCATTCACATTTGTATCTCTTCTGTGAGATGCTAATTCATACCCTTTGCTTATTTCCTATTGATTATCTTTGACTTATTGATTTGAAGAAGCCCTTTGTACAAGTATTTAATCTTTGTTATATATGCTATAATTATTTTTCTCTGTTTAACTTTCAGTACTATTTTTACTATATAAAAGCTTAAAAACTTTGAATGGAGTAATACCTGCTAATCTTTTCCTTTATAACTTCTGAATTTTATCTCTTGCTTAGCAAAGCTTTTCCTACCTCAAGGTTATAAAAATGATTTCATTTTTTATACAGTTTTATTTTTTACATGTAAATCTTTAGCCACTTAAAATTTGTTTGTGTATGGTGTGAAAAGAGATCCTCTAATGAAAATTTAAAAATAATACTTAAAAGGGGTAGCCTTCAATAATCTGGAAAATTCATGTATGGATTTCATTTTCTGATACCATGAAAAGAATGAAATGTTATTTTTATTTAGGAATATGAACATTTTGTCCCTTTAAACACCCTTTAAAAAGTGGGCCTAAGCATATGATTTGCATTATTAGTCTACATCAACCTTGTTAAGTAGGAAACCCTAGCACCTGGGATGTGAAAAGAACATGGTGTGGGGTCCTGCTGACACTGGCCAACAATACTGGCCTTTTACTCTGATAGCACCTTAAAGCAGTTATTTTCTGGGTTAAAAATACAACTCTTTCTCAAAAGAATTCCAATTTGTAAAACATATATCTACTCAAACAGTTAGCCTCCCCTCCCCACTCTGAGATAGCCCCTGAAGAGACTTGGTAAAACAATAAATTCCATCTTTAATTCTTTTTTTATTTTTAAATCCCCACTCGAGGATAATTTTTCCCATTGCTTTTCAGAAAGAGTGGAAGTGAGAGAGACAGAGAGAGAGAAATATCAATGGAGACACACACTGATTGGTTGCCTCCCACTTGAGTGCCAATGGGGGCTGGGGATTGAGCCTGCAACCGAGGTATGTGCCCTTAGCCAAAATTGAACCCGGGACCCTTTAGTCTGCGGGCTGACGCTCTAATCACTGAACCAAACTAGCTAGGGCTATCTTTAATTCTTTAGATGGGGATAAAAGGTTCACTCACTCCTGTTAACAGTGGCCTTTGTCGAAGAAACTTAGTTAGGACTGGGTATTCAAAGGCATAGGTTTAGAAAGGACCAACTCAGTAATTACGGTAGATGAGTAACTATGGGAGTCAGCACTTCCCATTTGAAAACTGTAGTGACTGATTGAGACACATTTATACAGTTCTATCAGGAATTCCGAAGCATCATAAAACACTACCAGTGGGCTACTATGTTACAATATCTACTACAGCTAAACTTTCTAAGCTTATTCAGGTAATTGTTACAGTTTGTGAGGCTTACTGAAAGATTATTAATTTAAGGGCTTTAGCCTTATAACAGAAACAAATAAAAAGGAATGGAAAATATCCAAAAATCAGAGAAAGGCAGACAGTGCTGACAGCTGCCTTTTCCTTTAGACCAGGTGGAATGCCCCTCAAAAAGATCTAGTATTAAAGGAAAGTTTTGAATTTGTTTATTTTACCATCAAGAATAATTAAAGCAGCAGTACTCAAAGTGTGCTCTGTGGAAAAGTTATCTTCATCATAACACTAAGGTATTATTTGCCTTTGTCACTGTCATTATTTCATAGGTATAAGTGGTGTTTTCAGAAGCTACATGATGTAAGATATTACATCATAATGAATGCAAACCAGAGAATCCAGCTGTCTTCTTTCTGCAGAGGTCTGCAAAAAACGTAAAACAATGCTACTTTTCTCACTCATTTAAAAAAATACATTTCTGTTGATTTCAGAGAGAGGAAGGGAGAGGGAGAGACAGAAACATCAATGATGAGAGAGTCATTGATTGGCCGCCTACTGCACACCCCCTGCTGGGGATCGAGCCCATAACCTGGGCATGTGCACTGACTGGGAATCGAACTGGGATCTCCTGGATCATAGGTCAATGCTCAACCGCTAAGTCACGCCAGCCAGGCCTCACTCATTTTTTGTTTTGTTTGGGAAAACACAATTAACTTCATAAAAATATTACTTAACATGTAACAGTTTTATTATGTTTAAATAAATTTATAAACATTTTTAAAACTTAAAAACTTAATTTTAAGTTCTAAAATGGTAATTAATAATTACTTATATACAAAAGCTCTTTGGAGGTCTTTAATCGTTTTAAAGTGCGTAAAAGCGTTCTGAGACCAAATGTTTGAGAATGGCTAGATAGAAGCGAAGTCTTTCTGAACATTGTGAACTGGAACCCCAAGTTTTTAAGGTAGTACCACTGTTCAATCTTTATGAAATCATCTCTGTGTCTACTTATTTGGAGTCTGAACATAATCACATGAATCCAAATCCATGAACTACAAACTGTGCGCTCTAAAAAGTGGTTAAAAATCTGCACCTGAATATTAGTCTGTCCTTTTAGGTAAGATAAAGTTTTTTCTTACTTGGGGAAAGAGTGGTCTCTCATCTCTCTTCTTTTTTAGGCACTCTGCCATTAATCTCTTCATGGCTTTTGGGCAGTTACTTCGTACCTTACTGAGATCTGGAGATAGATACCCTCGTCCCACCATAAAAATTATCTAGGAAGGAAAAAAAGGCAAATCATAAAACTTGTAGATCTACAAGTTGAAAAATACACAAACATTGAAAATTCAACAAGCTGTACACTTAAGGCATGTGTACTTTTCTGTATGTACACTTCAATGAAAAGTTTAATAACACAATGCTAATATTCTGATGCCTACGTATACACTGGGAACCAGTATTTCATGGGCTGTAAGCTGAAATCTTCATGACCCCTGGGCTCTTGTTCAGGTCTCTTCAGGGTTCCCTATACTCCAGCTGCTTCATGAAATCCATCTTCCCACTGGTAGGGTCATCGTGCTAAAACAGATCAGATTAAGCCTCTTTTCTACTTACATAATTTATTGGCTATAGTGCTAAGTCCTTTATATACATGTAGCAGGAAGCAAAAAAGTTAACCTTTTAGAAATTGTTTTTACATCAGCATTTTGAACTCTTTTGCTGAGGAAACTCTACTGGGGCATTTAGTTGTATAAATCTGAGAATCAGAGCTTCCTCCAGAGAGAACCAAAGTCTTCTGTTTAATAAGTAAAAAGGCTCGTCTTCTCTGTGTGCAGAGATTTGTAATTTTTCTAATTTCTTAATTTTTGGCTCTTTTGAAGGTGGTCAGAGACAGATGCGAGGATTCTTGGGACTCAGAGAGGAAAAAGTGGTTTTACTCTTAGAGGGAACTGGTCCAAAAGGGACAGACTAGAGGCTGATGTAGAGAGAGCCAGTAAGAGATCTCGTTACAGGGCAGAGCTAATAATCTTAAGGAAGCCAAGTTTGATATCCTACTTTATGTTATTTCCTATTTGGCGCTGTAACCACACTTGTTGAACTATAAGCTGACTGGCTAAGTACCACTAACGTGAAGGTATAAAGCAAATCCTCCTCCTACTTTACAGAAGTTACCTTCTACCAGCACAGAATTTCACTGCAGTACCCAGCTCCAGGGCGTAAAACTGCTGGGGTACCAAAGGGACACTTCCAAATACTGGTGTCTAACTGTACTCCAATGGATGGGTAACATTCCCTTTACTGGTTTCCAATTCTTTGCTTTTGTTAAATTATTGAATTGTCAGCTGATTATTAAAATAGTTATTAATGACAAATTATTATGTAATTTTTGGTATGTTAAAGAAATGAGTTCAAATAACGGAGTGGTATGGTGGATGGTAAAGAATTAATCTTGCCCACATGGAGGGCTGGCCTTTGCCTTTGGTTCCTGGGAGATAATCCCTAACCCTTTGGAATGTCCTGTCTGGTAAGTGTGTCTTTGTTTACCTGGGGCCCTGGGAGATGTCAGACAGTCTATGCTAAGAATGTGATTTATAGAGGGAGCTTGGACTCATGTGGTACCGGCTTGCCCTCTGGAGGGGCTGAAAACTAAGGTTGGCCACAGAGGTGGTAAAGCATATCTACATGGCTGAGTCCCAATAACAACTCTGAACTCCAAGGCTCAAGCAAGTTTCTCTGGTTGGCAATATTTCATCCCTGTTGTCACAACTTGGGTGCCAGGAGTATTTAGTGCTGTCCACAATTCCCCTGGGAGAGGCAACTGGAACTTCCATACCTGGAACTCTCCTAGATCCTTCCCTATGTGTCTTCCCTGGGCTGATGTTAATTTGTATTGCAATAACTACCTGTGAGAATTAACAACTTTCAGTGAGTTCTGTGAGACTTAGTGAATTACTGAACCTGAAGGTGGTCTTGGGGACCACTGAACTCTGCATACAGTTATAACGAAACCCCTGATTTTCTCATCTTCTTACTTATTTGTGCAATATTTCTCAGTGGAAAAGGACTGATGCTAAGTCCAGCTCATTCTAGCAAAAGTCATATTTATCCACAGATACATAAATGAATTGAAAAGAAAGGCAACACGTTGTTCAAGATACACATTTCCAATAAAATTTTACCTTCAATATTTTTATGTAATCAAAACTTGTTTTCATCACTTATAGTTATTAATAATGGAATGAGTCACAAATTAACAACTCATACCTGATAAAACCACAGGAAAAAATTTTAAAATTCTAAATTTAAATACTTTTGGTTGTTGCAGAGATGTAACTTGAGTGATCAATAAAAGAATTTAAAGCATAAAACTGTGTTACATTAGGATAAAATTCTGCCGGGAAAGTAGAATACATGTAGTTCACAGAGGAAAAAAAAGAGCCATGAAAAATTTCAAAAAAATTAATGAAGAACTTTTGTATTCTTTAAACAAGTGATGACAGGTATCAAATCAGTATGGCTTTTAGATTTTATTGGGTACATATAAAAGACGGCTATCATGGCTGTATTTTGAAATGTTAATATAATACACAGGAAACTGCATTCTTCGCAATTATTTAAACTTAAGAGAGAGTCCTTCTTGGATGTAATTTATGGATAGAAGATTCAAGTGGCATATACGCTACAAAATCAGTAGCTTAGTTTGAAATTCTGGGGCTGGTTATTTTTATTCTCAATCTGCACTCAGCACTCCTGGCATCTCTACCCCTTCACTCACTCCTCTGTATACAGCTTGCTCACCCCCCTGCACTGCCTCAGAACCGTAAACTCCACTGAGTGCTCAGCCTGTGTTTTATTCATCTCTGTATCCCTCTATATCCCACAGTGCTTTGCATTTAGTAGGTATCAAAAAAAATTTATTAAAATAATTTGTGTATTGATAAGACACTGGTACTTATCATTTCCTGTCTCTTGAGAGCTTTACTTAGCACCCAGCCACCACGCTGTGAGCAAGTCCAAGTTTCCTGTGAAAAGATCTTCACATAAAGACCCAGGTGGAGAAGAACCGAGGGCTCTGGCTGGGCTTCCACCTGACAATCTGGTAGCACCTTGTAGGTTTGTGAATGAGCCATTTTGGAAGCAGATTCTTTAACACTCAGCGGATCTACCCCAGACTATACCATGTGAAACAGAGATAAGCCTTCACCACTGACAGCAGCCCAAATTGCAGATGCATAATTTGCTTAAGCCACTACGTTTTAGGTGGTTTGTCATAAGCAGTAAGTGGAATACACTTGAAACAACAGGTCAACATGTTATTTTCTTCTAAGGTGACACAGCACTTCTCCAAGAAAAGAAAACCATGAAGGTAGACAGTTAATATACATAGCCTATGAGCACATTATTAATCTCAACTTAGAAGAGAAGCTGTACTGAAAAAGGGAAGAATACAGTAATTAGAGAACAAACTGGAATCATAAAGAGGAAAAAAAAAAAAGAGCAGTTTCTCAGATTTTCAGCACTAGGGTAACTAAAGAGGCATGCTACTCTGCAAAGCAACACAGGGCTGGTCATCCCTCAAGGCGCTAAGAGACCTGTTTTAGATTTTTTTAAAAAATTGATTTCAGAGAAAGGGAGAGAGAGATAGAAACATCAACGATAAGAGAGTCATTGATTGGCTGCCTCTTGCACACTCCCGACTGGGCGTGTGTCCTGACCAGGAATCGAACCAGGATCTCCTGGATCCTAGGTTGATGCTCAACCACTAAGCCACGCTGAATGGGCAAGAATCTGATTTTTATAACTGGAAGGAATTCTTTAGTCCAATTTCTTATTTTTATAATTGAAAAATAAATAAAAAACCACCTAGAGAGATATTGTGGCCAGGTTATGCAGGCTGTGAGTCCCAGGTCTGCCATTACATCACACTACTTTACCAGAGTCTGCCTTGAATTCACTGCCACTAAATTTACTGCCTCTACCTCCGATTATAAGGGCGAGAGCATAGGGGACTAGTTCCTGTTATACAGGAAAAAAGCAGCTTTCCCATCTCCCATGAAAAAGAACAATATTCCCAGATTTTCAAGCAGAAGTCCCATCTGAGAGCCATGGAGATCAACGTATAAGAGAAAGGAAGAAAAACCAAATGAAAGGGATGAATGAAGTAATAACTGTGGTCACACACACTTCACTGAGGATGACTAGAGTTATCAATTCAAAAGAGGGAGTTTCATGGAAAGTGCCACTGGAAGAAAACAGATGAGAAGATAATGAGGATGGTAATGGGAAGAGGCTATCATTCCTTTTTTTAATGATTTTTAAAAATAGATTTTTAGAGAGAGAGGGAGGGAGAGAAACATCGATGTGAGAGAGAAGTACCAATCGGATGACTCTTGCACCTCCATGAAATGTGGGGTCGAGCTTGCCACCTGGGCATGTGCCTTGACCAGGAATCGAACTGGCAACCTTTTGGTACACAGGACGATGCCCCATCAACTGAGCCACACTGGCCCGGTGAGTATACCATTCTTTTACCTCCATTTTCTTTATCAAATTCTTAACATGGTTTTAGGCTGGCAAATTCCACAAGCCTCTAACTATACTACCGGAAAGAATAAGTAGTAAAGGCCTTACCCTTCTGTTGGTCACTCATTTCTCTCATGGAAAGTAGGCCCAGGTGACATCGCTTCACTTACTACACTCCCATGGGGGACAAAGTACCTAAAATGCCAATAACTCTGGGATGCTTTTATCTGTATTTTGGAGGTAATAACACTTGTTTTCATAATATAATTTTATTGTTTTATTAAAATAAGCATATTCACTGGCAAATGGATGTCATCTAAGCTCACAAATTTTTGTTATTTGTAGCCTCTATGATAAATCAACTAAAACTAAACTAAAATTTCCATGTAATTCCTCTAGAGAAATACTATGCACAGGAAAAGTGAACATGGCACAGGGGATTGTGCTGTGTGGCCGAGGAAGTAAGACTGCAAAAGGCAGAGCTCACAAAGCTTGCAAATTAGAGACAACAATCTTGCTACTGAGACTGCTGTCATCAGATCAACATCTCAGGGATCTAGAATCTGCTACAAATACAATAAGTAATATGTTTCGATTACATTTTTTAGCTAGCATTGTGGTCCATCCTGAATCTAAGTTTTATGTGGGCTTAAAATATCAGATCATCAGAAGCCAGGTCATAGGTTTTTTTTAAAACACTCAAAGCTAACATTCTAAAGGTATGAAATAGTTAGAAAGACCAAGTAACTAAAAAATTAGTTTTGTGTTGACTTGAATAGAAATATAGTCATTTAAAATTTTTTTCAAAATACAGAATTAAGACCACTATTGGGTAAGGGCCACATGAGCATATACCAAATACATGATAACTTAGATGACCCCTCTGACATCACATGACAGTGAAAGTTCCTAGTGAGAAAGCTACTTAGAGCTACCATCAAAAAGACTGGGAGTTGAGCCTTGGACTAAAACACACAGTACTTAAATGAAGTAACACATTTACACATAAAATTATCATTTCACTAGGCTGGGAGGTTATGATGAAACACATAAAATGTTTGCACTTTCAAAAAACAAAAATATCTTCAGATTGCTGATTCTCGACTTTGGTATGTATCAGAATTCCCTGGGAAACTTACTACAAATGCAGGTGCTCAGACCCTATCCCATTGAATTAGAATCTGCTCCAGCATCTCCCCTTTTTTAAACAAATTACCCAGGTTATTCTGACACAAACCACAGTATAAAGTATAAATATTATTTAATCACAGTTCATATGTCAACTAATTTTTTTATATTAACAGTGTAACTGCAATCTTTCCCCCCTCCCCTCTCTCTCTCACACACACACACATACACACACACTTAGTTTTAAAAGTTGAGGTATACAAGATAATTTCAGTAAAGACAATTCCTTTTCTTGGCCAGTGTTAAAAGCCTAGGTGAATTTAATAAACTGGGATAGAAAAGGCAGAGTTGCATAAGGCTACATTAGTACATTTGGGAAGGTAAGGGACAGAGGAAGATAGAAGTTAAAAAATTCCCTCCTACTAGAATTCTCATTATTGAAAAATGAAAGCATGATGTCACAGTTCTTCCAATTACCTAGTTTTAAAAATTAAAAAAAAACCAACCCTGAGAAACCTTAATGATTTTAAAAGAATTTGCTATAAAGAAGCTCATGGCTGAGTATCTGCTCAAGTAGCACACTCTGTGAGAGAGTAAAAGGTGCTGTGGTAGCAGAGCTCATGCTTCTAATTGTGTCATGGTCAAGAAGCACGAGGAACAGCAATTGTTGCATCTCCAGGTTCAGAAGATCAGGAATTTCACTCCATTACAACACTTAATTAAGGATATTGGAAGGAAAGGCCTTACATGCTGCTATTACTACAAAAGTATCTAAAAGGTATCTACACTGGTAAGAAAGACCCAGAGATCTACCTTTCATACTTATCCAGGATTTAACACTTCTTTTCTACAATGAACTGGAACTTTATATAAATAGTAAAATAAACCCCAAGAGATGGTAAATATTTACCTGGTCCCTGTTGTTGATGTTTGAATAAGGTAACTGTCCAGTCATCAATTCATACAGAACTATCCCAAACGCATATACATCTGATTGAAAGCTATATGGGTTTTTATCTTGCATTCTGATTACTTCTGGTGCCTGTTAGAACATAAAAAGAAAAATATTGTTTATTCTTTTCTTCAACTGAATAAAGATGGAAAATCAAACTATTACTATTCCCAGAAAAATGCTTTTATCATTAAATAACCCATCCAATGTGTAATTAATTCTCTTATTAATGGTCAAAGAAATATAACTGATTAAGAAAGAGTAAAAAATGCCCTGTAAACTCTAAAAGAGGCAGTACTAGCTGGGATTCTTTCTACATTACTAGTGTTTTTATAATTTTAGCAGCCACCCGCTTTTACACAAAATACTGTCATTGCCATTTGAATTCCTCCCTTGACTTACCTATCAAGAATCAGCTCCCATTTCCCATTCCTGATTCAGCAAAGAAATACTATGCCTGTGGGTTGTAAGCTGTTTGGAGCAGTACAGCCATTATGGTGAATGTCTCAGATTTAAGTCTTTCCATTGGTGCAAACGACTCTCAGGGCACCGTACACAATAGTGGTACAATTTCAAGATAGACCAACTCAAATCCCTTTCCTGCCTCCAAAAGTGGCATAAACAGGCAAAGGGTGTCTTATCAGTAAAAGCAATCGGCAATGGGTGGATTCAGTTGAAGATGGTATAAAGAACCTTTTGGCTGCTACTTCTTGCGCAAAGATATGGACCAAATCATATTTGCTACATTTTCACACATTTCAGTCACTGATTTCTTATTGGCTACTTACATGAAATACAACAAATGGCTGGTTCAATATTAGCTTTAAAGAGTTCTTTCACTTTGAATCTTTCGTATTGTTTCATTTGAAAGGAATTAGCGAAATTGCAGGGTATTAATAAATTAATAAACACTTTGTGATAACATTAATTTGATATCAAAACCAGGACTAATTGCAAAAATGGCTGAAAGACCTGGGACAAGAGTCCTGGCTATTGGTCAGAGTGAGGCAGGTGAGACTATCAATAGCACAAGGTAGGCAATAATGGCACTAGCCTCACCTGCAAATCAGCCTCACTTGTACAGCCTTGAACCTTTCTTAAAGTCCATACTACGTCTCAGCCCAATAATACAACATCAGAATCTGGGGGTGCATTATTAGTTTTTAAAGCTCCCAGGTGATTTTAATGTCCAACCAAGGTTGAGGACCACTGATGGAAGATGTGTGGGAGGGAGATCCTGATGAGAGTGAAAGGACAGGAGTGAAGGAGAGGGTCATATCTACTTGTTTTTGTCTTACATTTTACTGATACTGCTTTTCAGTACAAAATAAACCACATTACAACTGTGATGCAATGAACAAGCCCGAATACTGAGAGGCTGGTTATGATACAGGCATAATTTTCAAAGCCAGAACAGAGTTTTTGTGAGGGACAGGGTAATAAATCAATTGAAAATTTGCCTTTAAACTTTAGTTTTACCTCACTGCCTCACTGTTGTTGGCAGATGGCTTGATGAAAAGTTGTATGTCATCTATTTACAAGAAATGCATTATTAATCCTCAGTTAATTTATTGATTTAATTGTAAAACTTTTTTTACACAAAGGTTTCTTTCTCCTCTAAGATATAAATAAGGCTGAGAAGACTACTGTAAATAATTCAGAGAACTATATAACCTTCGTTCTGACCAAACTCTTCTTTCCTAGTCTATGGATATTTTAAGTTTGTTTCTGAAGGCACTATCAACCCAAAAGGATTTATTCAACAATTAAGTGTACTATTGGCTAATCTCTTAAAACTCAGCTTGGTGAAATAAAAAATGAACCCATCTATTCAGGTATCAACAAAAAAAGAAATTAGAAGAAAATATAAAACTTCATGTGTAATAATCTATTGAGGTTTCAGAGAAAGGATAAACCTGAAGACCTGACTGAGCCTCTCTCCTATACTAATTAAAATAAACACACCTCTGAAACATGTATCAATTGTTTCTTTATAGTTTTAATGCTTTTGCAATATCAGTACTTTAAAATCTGCTGCCCCCACTTCTTAGGATACTGCTGCCATCTTTTTTTTACAAAGTGTGTGCCTTAAAGGGCCTGAGATCTGCATTACAATTATTAATTAGTCTCTTGTTTTTAATTATTTATTAGAACAGCTAAACATATAGTAAAGAAAAATTCATGCTAGCTCTAATGCCTGAATCTTAGAAATAGAAGTGGCGTTAGAAATCCATGAGTGCAGCCCAACATTAAAGATGGAGACTTGGAGGAGGTTAGAAAAGGTGCAGGTAAGAGTCACACAGAGCATTAGCGTACACACCTCCTAACTCTTAAGTCCAATCTCCCTCCCACCTTGCAGCTTGCCCTAATTTCAGTTATTACTGCAAGAAGTCATAGCTCAATTTAACCCTAGGCTTATCTTGACTAATTCAGAATCCTACCTTGCAATTCCCTTCCTGAGAGTTCAAAGAATTTAGGCAAAGGTGGCTTTGAAAGCCCCTTGCAGCTTTTCTGTTTCCAGCAGGGTGTCCCCAAGTGCAGGTTCTGTTATTAAAAACTACACTAATAGTTTTGGGACACCCTGTATTCAGCTTAGAGCAGCAGTTTTCAAACGTTTTGGTCTCAGTACTCTTACAGTCTTGAAAATTACTGAGGACCCCCCAAGGAGATTATGCAGATTATATCTGTGGATAAATAATCATATTAAAACAACTGAGAAACTACTAAAATATTTATTAATTCATTTAAATAATAAAACAGCAACCAGTAAATGCTAACACAAATCATGCATTTTTAATGAAAAATAACTATATTTCCAAGAAGAAAAAAAACTTTAGTGAGAAGACCAGTCCTGAAATTCTCTGTTTGGTTGAACAGTAGCCAGTTTGGGTTAATATACATTTGCTTCTGCATTTAATCTGTTGTGATGTGTATGAAGAACAATCTGGTCTTACACAAGGATGACCTTGGGGACTTTTAAAAGGGTCTTGGGGCCCCTTTTGAGAACTACTGGCTTAGAGAGTGACTCCTAGACTGCCCTGTTCATAGCCTGCTGAAGGTAACTGCACAGATGTTTTGGTTCCCTTCTTTCATATGTTCTTTCTTCTTTTTTACAAAGTAGAAACAGGAATAAAGAGAGAAAGAGCGAGCTATGCAGGGCAGCACAAAGCTGACAGTGTTAAAAATCTACCTCTCATATTTTTGCCTCTCCTTTTCCAGGTGCCCCATAATTATATGGTTCTTTCTAGTGTAAAGAAAGTAACTTTCCAATTTAGGCTTAAATAAGACTGTGAAACAGCTTCTCCCTTTTTTTTTTTTTTTTTTTTAAATTAACTTTTTCAGAGAGAGGAAGGGAGGGGGGGAGAGAAAGAGAAACATCTATGGGAGAGCCCTCATGCATACTGGGGATGGATCTGCAACCCAGGCACGTGCTCTGACAGGGAATCAAACCAGCAACCTTTTTGTGCTCGGGAAGACGCCCCACCGGCTGAGCCACACTGGCCAGGGCAAACAGCTTCTCTCTTAAAAAGAGGAGTTCTCTTCACAAACCTTAATAATGGCTGCAGATCACACCTGCTTAAATTGCATACTTTTTTAAAAACAGTATAAGGAACATTTGGAACAAAAAATATTCTAGAGACAATTTAAATAAACGTATTTAAAAATACATAATTTTGAAAGATACTGAAACTAGTTTCATAATATTCTTTTTGCAGATAAACAAAAAAGTTAAGATCTATTTACATAAATAATAAGATCAACGTTGACTTTCGTGAATACTGGGAACTATGAAAACACTATAGTTAGACTTTCAATGACTTTCTAGTACTCCGCAGCATCTCAGGGTCCAAAAAATTAATGGAAAAAAGCCTCAATTCTTACCATCCACAAGATGGATCCAGACAACTGTTCAAACTGATGGGACCCACTCCATCGAGATTTCACTGTGGCTAGGCCAAAGTCACCTATTTTTACTGTGAGGTCTTCATGAAGAAAGATATCTGTGGTGCAGTAAGTAAAGGAAAACCATAGATCTCACTTTCCTGTCAGAGCAAGCATCACAAAAAATTTAGGTAAGAGATATAATTTCTGTAATTCTGTAATGTTAATGAGGTCTATTTAGGCCTGAATAACCTGCTTTTAAGGTTTTTAGGGGTTTGACATGTAGCAGAATGAGGTGAGATGCTTTCCTAAGATTATGGGAGATCCTGAAACTTCCTCACAGGATTTCAGCAACATAGGCACAAATATCCTGCGGGCACTGTTGGCTCTTCAGTGGAATGAGGGTGGATGGCAGACGGGATCTTAATCTGAGTTTATGGAAGATGAAAAATTGTTTTTCTCACCTCATGTTATTTGTAACTTAGAGCCTTTAGTTACATCTTAACTACTGCTGAGCAAGGTCAGAGTGCCAACAGAAACTAGCAGATAGCTACAAAACTTCCTGTTTTATAGTGCTGATAGTAAGGAAGCAATCAAAAAGAGCCCTGCTACCATAAAGATCCGATAGATTTTTATTGTAATGCTCAATCATTCAGAAACCAAAAGCAGGTTGTAGTACCTTGCTCTACTACACTCTCATGCAAACCCATTTATTCTCTTTACAGTACATTGAACTTAGCATGAAACTGTTTTTACATAATGTGAAGACAAAATGCAGAAGAAAAGTCAGGATGTTTTCAAACTTCGCAGACAAATTTCAGGAAGGATACTATTACTCTTGAGGTCTCTGTGGATGATTGACTTGGCGTGTAAGTAACTGAAAAACAAAACATCATTTTAACCTGAGTAGGGCTAAAGACTCTGGCCTCAAAATTTCTAAAACATATTTAGGGGTATAAATAAAGATGTATTTTGAATCATGATACAACTGCAAACTGTACAATGTGATTAACTCCTTCATATAAGAAATATTAAAATAGACTGTGAATGAATTTAGGATTAGAGGAACATATTATTACTAATACGGTACAGCCCAAATCTTGTTTTCTATGAAAAGACTTTACTTTATCTTTTACTATTTACCAATACAAACCTTTCGCTCCAGTCAAGCCTATTTATCCATGTCCTTTGTACCTTAAACACCCCCTCCCCTGTTCCACCCCCAAATTAGCTTTCATTCTATTCTCCGCCTATCCATGCCTATCCTTGAAGGCTGAACATACGTTCTAACTACTGAGCGACCTTTCCCATGACTGACTTAGCTGCAAGTGACCTTTCACTGCTCAGTTACACAGAGATCACTGTAACAGCCTGATTCACGTGTTTATCTGCCTCTGTTTGATTTCTACTTAGAATGTAAAACTCTACTAGAATATGGAAGTTTAACCGATAAAACCATTCTTAAAGGTAGTATTAATATATTCTTAAAATACCTACTTAAAACTAATGAGTAGCAAACTTCCTCAATAATAGCTTTAGTTGAGTTCATTGAGGGAAAAGAGCTGCGCCAACTTATTTCTGTTTATCCCCAGTGCCAAGTACAGTGCGTGGCATAAGGTAAGTATTCAAAACACATCAGTTGAGTCAACTACACTGAGATGCATATAATGTCCTAGTCAAGGTTATCTTTCTTCATTTAATGCTGGAGAAAAGAGCTATATAAGACTCCTGAAACTTGACAATGACCATTAGGAAATAAGTTTTGCCTTAAAATGAGACTATAATATCACTGTTAAAAATAGGTCTGCAAATCATTAAGCTTATAATTTACGCTTTCCCATCTTCATTTAAACTTCCACATCCTTCCAGAGAATAAAATTTTGAAACTTTTTTTCAGATAAAATTTTCGTTTTAAATTAGTTTATACAAAGTAGCCCCTTCTCCAATTACTCTCTCACTTCACACTGTTTATTTCCTTTATAGCTTTCACTACAATCTAAAATTATCTTGTCATCATGGCTTTTTAGGCCTAGTGTCATTTTACAACACAAAAGTCTACTTAGAACCCAGAAGTTCTGCAGTGACAAAGAAAGGTAAAAACATATAAAAAAAAACGGGTCTCAGTCTAAAGTGTTTTCTAGAGGGGAGACCTTGTCTGCATTAGAAGGGGATGAATGATGGCAGTGGTGGTGAAGCTCCGTGCTTCCGCCAGGGGGCTGGTGTTCAGTTCACAGAAGGTGTTAGTGTTTGAAGAGGTTCTGTTTCCTTTGAAATAAAAACAACGGACGAGTGGTTCATGTGAAAACACAGCAGCATGATGAAGTGACAACAAAGGAAGATAAAGGTGTTCCTGATGGATTCTGTCAATCTTTCCAACAAATCTAATACAAAGAAATACAGCAAGAATAAGGTAGACAGAAATATAATAGAGGGCTGAGGAGAGAAAGTTTCTCCCCAAGAAAGTACTAGATAACTAATAAGACATAAATTTGATTGCTGAGCTAGCGATACAACCGTAGAAGTTGTTTGGCATAAACTATTACAGGTCAAAGTTGCATATAGCTGCAACTTGAAATAACATTATCTTATCCTTTGCAATCCTTTATTGTTTAAAACTTTGCTTTCCTAACTTTTATCTCATTTAATAAATTTCTTTCTGTAACATCTCTATAACAAAAACAGCAAAGGAACAGAAATCCAGGTCTATGTAATAGAAGGTTGGGGGGAAAAAGGGACTCGAATTCCCTAGCTGAAAAAATAGGGTGAAAATCATACCCCGCCCCCCACGTAATATAATGTCCCAGAGGAATTACTACACAGAGTGACACTGGAACATAATTTCCTAAGCACCTACCAGTTATAACCAAGATGCCAAAAAACACATAACTGGTTGAGGGTAGAAAAGGAAACAAGAATAAATAAACTTTACTTTCCGCAGATGATGCACAAGTCTAGCCATATCTTAAGGTAATTAAATTACCTCCTTCTTTTCTAAGATGTTAATGAGAAACTTACAGGTTTACAAAAGTAGTAGGAAAGAAAACACATATGCTATAAACTAAATGAATACCACTCTCGATAGGTTTCTCTTAGGAGTCTCCTTCCTTGAAGAAAAAAATGTCTATCTAATCTTAAAGCTGGGAAATGATCTAGTAAAATCTGTTCTCTATGCTGCTTCTTTCAAACTCTTATCCAAGATTCAGCTTTGCAACGTTCTTTTTAGAGCATAATATGAAGCCCCTAAAATAAATACAGTGCTCTAGACCTGATGTGACCAACACACTAGAGGGAGGCTCTCTTCTCCCTTTTCCCCTTGAATGTAAGAAACTCCTCAGAGAAGACAGGTGGTAAGCTCCTGTCATTGGTCTTGGTAATGATTTGTTTTGGGTTTGACAAACAAAAGCAAAAATAAACAAGTGGGATTACAAACAACTAAAAATCTTCTTCAATGCAAAGGAAACTTCCACCAAAATGATAAGGCAACCTACCATGAGGAGAAAATACTTGCAAATCACATATCTGATAAGGGGATATCCAAAAAAATACATAAAACTCTTACAACTCAATAGCAAAAAAACTTGAAACAATTCAACTTAAAAAATAGACACTTTTCCAAAGAAGGCATACAGATGAAGGTACATGAAAAGATGCTCAACATCACTACTCATCAGGGAAATGCAAATCCAAACCACAGTGAGACATCACCTCCCACCTGTTAAAAAGGCTATTATCAAAAAGACAAGAAACAACAAGTGTTGGTGAGAATGTAGAGAAAAAAAGAATCCTCATGCACTACTATGGGAACATAAATAGATGCAGTCCCAATAAAAATCAATACAGTGGTTCTCAAAAAACTAATAGAATTACCATATGATCGAGCAGCCCCACTTCCGGGTATATATCCAGGTGAATCTCTATTAGGATACAGATGTCTGAGAGAGACCTGCAACCTCATGCTCACCGCAGCATTCTTCAGAACAGCCCAATCTGACCCAGGTCTTAAAAGGACCAATCTGGCTGCTGTGTTGAGAAGAAACTGAAGGTGGTAAAGGTGGAAGCAGGCACTACCCAGGCAGGAGCTAATGGTGGCTCGCATCAGAATGATAGGAGAGCAGATGATGAGAAGGTGTAAGACTGCAGATCTAGTTTAGAGATAGGGCCGGCAGGAGCTGATAGAAGACTGGTTATGTAATGTGAGAAAGAGAGGAGGCAAAGGTAATTACAAAATGTTAGACTAAGTGGCTGAAAGAACAGAGCTGCCAACTACTGAGATGAAAAGAAGGTACGAAGAGTGAGTACCAACAACTCTCCTGGGCAGCTTTACTGTAAGTGGAAGAGGAATGAGGTGAGAGCTGGAAAGGGAAGTGGGACCAAGGGAGCAGCCTCTACAACTTTTGTATTATGAAATGTATAAGCACAGAGAAAAGCTGAAAGAATGGTACAACCACCCACCAGATGCCTTCCACCTAGATTCAACAATTATCAATACTCTCCCAAAAGTGCATTATAAGAAAAATGTTTTAAAATGGAAGTCCAGTAGAAAAGAAAAACCTGATGATGAATGGGGGAGTCTATCTGCTCAAAAAACACAAGTGAGTAGGGAAAAGGGATGGGATCTAGTGCACAAACTGGAAGGACTGGCTTTTACTCTTAGTGATAAGGCAGAAAACAGCATGCATGTCGGCAGGTGGGTTAATGTGATGGTGCGTGCTTCTAGTTCTCTTAGTGAAGCGGCACGCTGACTGTTCTGGGAGAAGAGGTGCTGGAGACTGGAGGGCAGGCGGTACAGCAGTGTCTAGCAGAGGAGCCAATGAACTATGGAACTGAAAGCATGACCGCTATAAGGCATCAAGGGCCCACTTGGGGCTGTTGAAAGAACTGACTAAAATGGAGCAGCAGCGCGGTGTAAAAGGTTAAGGGAGTGCACTCTAGAGCCTAAGTGCCCGGGGCAAGTTACTTAACCTTTCTATATCCTAGTTTCTTCATCAGTAAAATGAGGCTAATAATAGGATCTATCTCACAGGGTTGCTGAGGTTTAAATGAGACTATATGTATATAAAGTACACAGAACAATGCCTGGCACATAGTAAGTACTATAATTGCTAAATACATCACTGTATAAAAACCACAGAGCATAGTGGTATTAAAAAAAGAGGGAGAGTGTGAGTTACCAGTACGTAGCAGAGCTGGGGTCAGAACCTAGTATTTATTGACCAGTAAAGATATTTAAAGTAAGAGTGAGTGAAAAAAGGCAACACCACGATGATTCCATATTTAAAAACAGCAACAAGAAACCACTATATATAGTATTAAAATAACAAATTCTGAAAGAACACACAATCAATGGTAATTACTGGTAAGTCTCTCTTGATGGTAGATTACTTGGTGGTTACTAATGTTTGTTTACATTTTCTGATTATGTATTTCTTTATAAGTTTTATTTTGAAATTAAGAAAAACTGCAACAAAGGATAATGTAGAATCACTCATATTCTTACCATAATCAAATGTGTAAACTTTTTACACATTTTGCCTCCTGTTCCCCCCCCCAGTTTATACTTGTAAAAAGGTTATGAAAGTAAAATATATCTTTTTTATTAAAAAGACATAAACAATTAGAATGTTACAGGTAAACCTAAAACACTTCTGCTTCACAGCTGCCCCCATCCTGACCCCTTTTGCCATTCCCGGAGACAAACATTACTGAGCTTGGTGTGTGCCTTCTAATCCTATTTTTTAATACTTTTTCATATAAATATATGCACGACTTAAAAAACCCCAAATATAAAAAGTGTTGTTTTTAAAATATTAAGTGGTTTCATGCTACAGCTAGCTTTTCTTACTTGATGTATTTTAAAGCTGATGTTGATACACACATAATTCCTTTCTGCCGTATACTATTCCCTTGTACACATGCCAATATTTTATCTATCCAGTCCTCTACTGATGGCCATTATGTTTCCAACTTTCCACTATTAATGTGTTTTCCTATAATACGATTCTTCCTATACACATCTTTTGGAACAAAAACTTGTGTTTCTTGGGGGTAGAACACTTATTTTCTGTTTCAACAGATACTTCCAAAACACTCCCAGGGTGGCTGGTTGCATCAGGCCTGTCCCAGTAAACAATTCCTCTAATTTTTACCAACGTGTGATCTTGTAAGAATACAGGCATTTGTTCAATTCCAATGGGTAAAAAAATAGTATCTCTTTGTTTAGTTTGCATTTTTCTGATTATCAGCATCCTCGTTTTTGTTTTTATCCACCAAAAAATCATATTCGCTATATTTTTTGATCAGAGTTATTTTCAATCATTAATACATGCTCACCAACTTTCAGCTTCAACTCATGCGATCTTTAAGTAGATTTATTTATGAGTAAAGGGGGCATACCCTTCATTATTTTTATAAAAAGTAAATCGTGAGGTTTCATCCCCAAATTATTATTATTTATTTATTCTTTAAAATATATCTTTATTGATTTCAGAGACAGGAAAGGAGAGGGAGAGAGATAGAAACATCAATGATGACAGAGTCATTGATCGAGCCTGCAACCCGGGGATGTGCCCTGACCGGGAATCGAACCCCAATTGCCTGGATCCTAGGTCGATGCTCAATCGCTGAGCCACGCCCGGCCGGGCCCCAAATTATTTTTATTTGCCTTATATTCAGAATATAACACTTCTGTGAGTATAATGCCAGACCACAACTTTCTCTTTGTGCCTCCTTGATTTAACATTTAGTAAAGTTTCTAATAAAGCTAAGTTAAAAATTATACCATAAATATTATACTGACATTAAAGGTCCTGCAAAGAAATGACACAATGAATTTGACCATTCCTGAACTTTCTTTAGTAACAATATTCTTGAAATATCGTGGCCCTTAGGCTGAATCAATGACTGTCAGGTGAGAAGCTGATGAACATACTATATGAACCTTGATTTCTATGAGTAAGTCTGTAGTTATCTACCATTTGAATAGCTCTGCTCTCTTCAGGTAAAATCTAGGAATCAGAAATGATCATTCATTGAGTTCTGTCCGAAGACAGAATCACACAGGAAAAATGTCACCTATCCACTATCTGCTTATATTCTGTACGCAAATAAAGGCGACACATTTGAGAGTCCTAATGATTTAACTTTCCTAATGACTAAAGGTTTTATCTTATGAGTGACTGCAACCCCAGCACTGAGGTTGGTATACCCATGCAATGAGTTCAGATGCTCTTATTCTGCTTATGCCCTGGGACTTTAAAATACATTCTGGAAAGTAGTCAGAAAGATCAGTTTCAACAGCACCTGGAAAACATTCACATTCAAGAGGCAGACTATTTTGAAATGAGGGCTTTGCAAAAGCATATTATTAACGGCCATTTAAATAATGTATGGACGTGTGAAATGATGGTGGAGGACATGAGAGAAGGAACCAAACACTTGAAAGTTTAAATAACTGCAAAGGATGTCATTTCCAGTATACTATAAACATCAATATTTTAACTATTTTTTGTTATTGGAAAGTTTCTTTTAAAGCATCTGATCTGTTTTTGTTTCATGGATAGAAAAATCTTCTTTTATTGCTGAGGAAACTGACAGTTTTTTTGGGGGAAGGGGTATCTCTTCTTGCTTTGTGTTTATTTCTAGTTGCCTTCTCCCCAACCCCCATTTGTTTTGGTCTCTCTCATTGGCATCAGAGATTTTCCCTCTGATGTCTGAGGTGAGCCAGAGGTAATCTGTCTTACTCAGACTGCATGAGGAACTAAAAAGCTGTCTGAGAGCTTTAGCAAATAGATGGGCTGCTTGTTTTTGAATTTCCCTGTACAGTGATCTAGGTGGAATCCCTGATGTCACCACCTTTGGGTCTTTCCTCTTGGCTGGTAAGATTCTTCACAGAAGACTCTTCCAATGTCTTGTGTGAAGGAGAAGGTCTGGCTGCTCACACTCTGGGAACCAATGAAAAGAGAGTGCGAGGAACTCTCCATTCATCATTCAATAAGCAGTCATTCAGTCCCTGTTTCTAGTAATGTATCCATGTCCACATTCCCAGTCCAGACATATTTTTCTCTCTCTACAAAATAAACGTCCAGTCTACCACCAGGGTAGGGACGGGGCCGCCATCCAGAGCACAGAGCAGGAGATGAGATTTTTGAGAAGCTTTTCAGACAGGCCTTTTCATTTATGCCCTTTCCCTCCTTGGGAGATACCCAATTCCTGAGACTTTTGAAGATTCTGTGGTATAAATCAAGTTAGCTTTCATTTCCCCATTGCCAACTAATGATTTAGTTTTTCTGGGTCTACTAAGTCCATGATTACTTCTCCATCTGCTTTCTAGCTTTTAAAATGTTGTTGACATTATTTCCTTCCTCTGTTTTATTTCCAACCTTATATGTTGATGCTTAAGAAACAATCCTTTACTATAGTTTTAGTGGAGTTTCAGAAGATAGCATAAATCTCTCACCTTATCTGAATCTTGCACAGACATTTTATTTATTAACTTTATTGTGGTAAACTATATATAGCATAAAATTTCCCATTTTAACCATTTTTAAATGTACAATTCAGTGGCACTAGGTAAAGTCCCAATGTTGTGCATCTACTACCATCTATTCAAAATTTTTCATTACCCCAAAATTCATTTCTTTTTTTTTTGAATTTCTTTGAGCAGTGTTTTATCCTTCTGGATACTATGGAAATAGAATTTTTTCTTTTTAATTAATTATTTTTAAAATTAAATTGGTTAGGGTAACAATGGTTAATCACACTATATAAATTTCAGGTGTACAACTTTATAATATGACATCTGTACACTCTATTGCGTGCTCACCACCTGAGGTCTGGTCTCCTTTCGTTGCCTTGTATCTGACCCCCTTTACCCTCTTCATCCCCTATCGCCCCCTTTCCCCCTGGTAACCACCACACACAGCCATGTGCTACATTCATAACCAGGGATACTCATTATATAGTGAGTGTTACTTAAAATGTAAGCAAAGTATTTCGAAGGAGATAAATAGACCGCAAAGGTCTACACTTATAGATTCCAAACTGGAAGCAATGGAAAAATATTGCCTCTTCACTGACTATCCCACAGACTAGAAAACTATTCCAATTTGATAGTGTTCTTCTCTACTGTCATCTTGTCTTAATCAATACCGGCATTTGACTGCCCCATCACTGTTTCGAAAAATAATTTTTATTACTATTCTTTGCTACCTCTCTTTATAGCAAAAGCCCTTCCTCCCTGCTATACTTTTATTACTTTGTTGACTAGTTTTCCTTTTATTGACATTTCTCAATTTTGGTATAAGCAGGATTTGGCTTCTCTTTTTTCTAAAAGGTAAACTTAATAATACTGAGTTATTTCTCCTTCATTTTTTTATTTCACAGATATGTACTGAGTACCTATCATAGGCCAGGCCCTGTTCCAGGCATTAGGGATAAAACAATGAACAAAACAAAGCCCCTGCTCTCATACAGCTTCTATTCTAGTGGGAGTGACAGGTAATAAACAACTATGTCATATGGAACTGGGTGTTAAAAATACAAAAACAAAGATCGGGTACAGAGAGTGACAGGGAAGGGTAGGGACGTTAGTTATATAAAGCAGCGATTTTTAACTGTTTTCATCTCAGGGCACACATTAACTACTAAAATTTTTTGGCACAAAAAAAAATATTTTCAGCTGATCTGACAAAAAAATAGGTGTCATTTTGATTTATTCACACCAGATGGCTATTGTTATTTTTTTACCTGACAATCTAAGGGAAAACAGAAAGAGTCAGGTATTGCATGTTTTAAATTTCTTGCGGCACACCGGCTGAAAATTGCTAATATAAGGTGATAAGGAAAGGCTTCTTTTAAAAGGTAACATTTGAACAAAGACACGGGGAGCAGCTCTGTGGATATGTGTGGCATGAGTATCCCAAAGAGAAAATAACAAGTAGAAGGCCCTGAGGAGGGTGCGTGTGTGGGGTGAGGGCTGGAGAATAAGCTTTGTCTTTTTCTCAATGCTTACTATTTTTGCCATTGTTTACTCTTCATAATATTTTAATATAACCTTTCGGATTTGAACAGATTCAGATTCTGGCCTATAGTAAATTTTATAAAGTTATTTTTTATCTTTTAAATTACAGAGCATAATTCAGTGGATATAAACAATCCAACTTAAAATCCTCTAAAAGGATCAGAATACAGATTTTCATTTTACTTTATTATGTGCAAATGACTATTTTGCAATAGAAAATATGGGCACTTGGAGAAAATAATTTGAAAGGATAACTAACAATTATTTTATATACTTCTATAACTGCTAATGATTTTTTAGTAGTCTTTTTGTTTTCTGAACCATTACTGCTTAGCTACATTACTGCATGCAAACCCTAAGTTTGTAGTCACATACTTATTATCAAATACTTTGTATGTTTTGAAGACTGTAGTACAGACTATTTTATTTCTTAGCATCATATTGCAAGTGTCCATATGCTATCAGGCAGTAATTTAAAAAGCAATCCAAAAGATTATTATCTAAAATCTTTCAAACACCCTCAATGGTCTTCAAAAATAATTTACAAGAGGTTTAACAGAATGGAACTTACTCCATGCCCTGTGCAGTCTGCCGTGCAATATCTATAAGTTTGATCATCTCGAACTTGGTCTCAATGATGTGGAGATGGTGATATAAGCTGGAGCCCTCACACCACTGGGTAACAATTGCCAACTGTGGCTTTGTTGAATAGCCCATGAAGAGTAGAATATTCACATGTCGAGTTTTCCTACAAAAAGAAATGTGACAGCAAACGTCAGCAAATCTTAAAAAAGAGGCCAAAGCGGTCTACTTATCAGTAAGATGTCAGAAAAAGGTATTTTTTTAAAAAGCGGTCTACTTATCAGTAAGATGTCAGAAAAAGGTATTTTTTTAAAAAGGCAAAAGAAGGATAAATTTTTAAGAGACTTTAATAATTATCTAGTTTAACATTCTACTCTTTTCAGAAATATCTTTTTAAATATAGCAGACAGGCAATGAGAGGTTGCTTAAATACCTTCAACTACGGGAAGCTCACCACTGAGGCTAAAGCGTATTCCTCCCCTCCCCTTTTTAAAGTGGTCCTAGTTTTAGAAAGTTTTTTTGGGTTGAGAAAAAATCATTTTCCTACAACTTCCCCACTGGTTTCCTGTTCTACTTTCTGCAATAAGAGTCTGTACCCTCTAGAATGTAACAGCCTTCTATGGACCCAATATCCTCAGTTCTGTTGATTACTTTCCCCCCTAAGTTACAGTTCTAGAATCATCCCCATCTAAGCTGTCCCTGCCTAAATGTACTCCAGTTTGTTAATGTTCCTCAAACTCCAGGGCATGATACAATCTCTAACTGTGTTCTGATAAGATTAGAATTCTGAGAGTACTATTTCCATAAGTGGAAGTATTACTTCTCATAATCAGAGCTCTACATTTCCATTAGTTCACTCTAGGCTTAATCCACCTATCAGCTGTACAATATAACACTGCACATCACTTAAAAGAATATGGTTAAAGACAAAATATTCTCAAACTTTGCTTTATGCACTTAGAGTAAGTCTTTATATCTAACAGCGGTGCCCATTGGAAAACAGAAGTTAAAGAAGATAATGTCGCCCAGCCGGCAACGGCTCAGTGGTTGAGCATTGACCTAGGATCCAGGAGATCGCGGTTTGATTCCTGGTCAGGGCACACGCTCGGGTTGTGGGCTTGATCCCTGGTTGGGGGTGTGCAAGAGGCAGTTGATCAATGACTCTCTCATCATTGATGTTTCTCTCTCTCTCTCCCTCCCTTCCTCTGTCTGAAATCAATAAAGATATATATATATATATTTTTTTAAAAAACAAGATAACGTCTCTGGAAAACAATAATTCACACTAACTCACCTGAGTACTCCTACTTCATTTTTGAAGGCCTGTAACTGCTGAGGTGTGGGTGCTGTCACATTCAACATTTTCACTGCCACATCACCTAAAAGGTAATTGTCATTCCAAATGTCATTCTGGTTTTTTAAATTAAAAAATATTAAAAACTCTTGGGTATTTTCACTAATTACCACAGCGTTAAGTCCACACCACTATTAAATTGCTTTATGGTGTAACTTAACAATAAATTATATCATACCTTCCTTAACTGCATTAATTTTCTAAGGATAAAAACTAAACTAACAATGATTCTCTTACAGCGGCATTTCAAAACATCAATCCAAAAAAATAGCCAACTTGTTTTTCCCCTGGGAATTTAGTTTAACCAATTAAGGACCCATGGTATTTTCCTGGTTATTTAACAATATTAAATTAGACACATTTACTAACTGTTAAAACTACAAATGACAGGCCCAATGGAGCTTGGCTGAAATAGAAAACTACAAAACTTCTTTATCAGAGTAGTTAACATTTTTTTTCAAATCTATAGATCACTTGTTGCTTTGCTTAGGAAAGTTATTAAAACTGTAATCATTATTTTTAAAAAACTTTATGTTGCCCAGCTGGTGTTGGCTTAGTGGTTGAGCATCAACCCATGAACCAGGAGGTCATGGTTCGATTCCTGGTCAGGGCACATGCCCAGGTTGCGGGCCTGATTCTCAGTGCAGGAGGCAGCCTATCTCAATGATTCTCTCACATCATTAATGTTTCTCTCTCTCTCCCTCTCCCTTCCTCTGTTGGAAATCAATAGAAACATATTAAAAACCTCCCGCAACTTTATGTGAAACAGGTAGAACTCAAACTGCCAGTGGGTGTGTAAATTGGTACAACCACTTGAAACATTGTTGGCAGTACCTACTAAAATGGAACATATGCATATCCAGTGGCCCACAATTCTTTCCTAGGTATATACCCAGCAAAAATGAACACAAATGTTCATCAAATGATGTGAACGCACTAAGAATATTCACAGAAGCAGCATTTGTAATAGGCACAAACTGGAAACTATTCAAATGCTCATCACACAGTACATAGAAAAAGGAATCGTTTTATGGAATACTATATAAAGCATGAATGATCTACAACTACATACAACAATATAGATAAATCTTATAAACAACGTTGAGTGAAAAGGGGTGAGACACAAGAGTACATACTATATGATTTCTGCTAAAGTCAGAATAGTGATTATCCTTGGGGTAGGAAGACATGAAGAGGACTTCTACAATACTGGTAATGTTCTGTTTATTGACTACAGATGTGTTCACTTTGTGAGATTTCAGCTACTTGAATGTTTAAATGCACTTTTCTGCAGGTATATTATACTTCAATATAAATGATTTTTCCTGATTATCAAAGTCATACAGTGCTCATAGCAAAAAGGTAAAATATTTTGAAAGCATAAAGAAAAAATATTTCCCATAGTCATGTCACTCAGAAGTGACCACTGTTAATATACTGATGTATATTCTATTAGGCTTTTATATGTATCAGTGTGGATATTTATGAATTCATATGAAAAGATAACCTAAGAAGGTAAGTATTCAAATACTGATGATCATTTTAAATATTGTTAAATATATTTCTACATAGCAGCATAATATGGGATATTATACATGGTGCTTTGTAAAATTTAATATACCACAGGCACCTTTCCATAGCAGTAAACATAAATCTACCATACTATTTTAATTTCTATTTAATCACATATGGAGGTTATCAACTTATTTATATAATACTCTATTAATGGGCACTTACATTTTTTCCATTTTTCATTAATAAATCTCTAATTAATGTACTTGCACCCACTTCTGTTTATTCCTGTCCAATTACTTCCTCATTATAAATTTCTGCAAATGGAATTACTGGCTCGATGAACATACTGTCAAATTTCTCTCCAGAAAATTTGTAGCAATTTATTTCCCCACCAGCAGCATTATAATCACAACTCTGATTATGACCAATCTAAAAAAATCTCTGTCCATTTTTATTTCCCATAATTTTTGTAAGAAACCTTTAGGAACTCTTGAATATGATCAAAAAAGTTTAATGATTCAGAAAGTAAATACTACCTTTGATTATTTTAATTAAAGTTAGATATATCCTATTATTATAACTTATGACAAGGTCACCGTATTACATACATACCATGCCACTTTCCCTTGTAGACTGTCCCAAATGACCCAGATCCAATTCTTTGTCCCACTGTGATCTGCCCATCAGGAATCTCCCAATCATCACTTGAATCCCGTCTACCAAGTGTTTTCTTGATAAAAAGTACAAAAGTCAAGCCAAAGCAAACAAAAAAGGAAAATCTTATGTTTTACACTAAGTACATTCCCCAGTTTCTGAAAGGGACATAAGTTAGAAAGTGATAATATCTTCTAAAAGGAAAACACACACACTCTGGCAGAATAATAGAAGTATGATTCTTACAATAGAGAACTTAAATTGAAGACCTAAGTCAGTATTAGGATGGAAACAATTTATTAAAAATTATTTATTGGGTATGAGCAGAAATATGTATCACTAAAATCAATAAGATAAGTCTTTTATAATTTGGAGGACTACTAATGGGCAAGGTAAGTTCTACACATCTGTGACTAATTCTGGCTCCAAAGGTGAAAACTCTAAGTTAACATACTACGGTAACTGTTGATTATTTATCTACTTACCTTCTTCCAGTCAGCACCAAATTTCCTAATATATCTTATCTGATCCAGTCTCTTAAAGAATTGTCAACATACGCAATACTTTGGTAGGGTAAAGAATACACCTATCCCCCTATTAATAAACTATTAATACACTATTGCTAAAATTAAAGTATTAGTTTTTAATATAGACTTACTGTGCAGCAGAAAGTTACTTTTTCAAACAGGAAAAAATGTCACTTAGTAGATATCTGAATTTCAGATAAGCACTTAAGAACATTATGCCTAATGATGCTTCCTAAAATACTAGCTTACTCTTCTTCCTTATTTTAAAAACAGTACACTACAGTTGACCCTCAAACAATGTAGGGTTAAGGGGTGCCAAGCCCCAGTGCAGTGGAAAATAGGTGTATAGCTTTTTCACCTAAAACTTAACTATAATGGTCCCTTGGTAGTTGTTGGGAATTGGTTCCAGGACCAATACTGTTTTCAGTCCTCGGTTCCTTGAATCATGGATGCAAAACCTAGGGATATGAAGGGCCAACTGTATATTTATTGAAAAAAATTTGCATGTAAGTAGATCCATGCAATTCAAATTCATATTATTCAAGGGTCAACTGTATTCTTACTCTTTCAAAACCACCTTTTACTTAATTACATTGAGTTGAGAGCAAAAATCTGTATTGTGTGAATATGCTTTAAGCAAACAATTATCAGCTCTTAATTTTATCTGATTATGGGAATTCTGTGTCACATATGGACATATCAGTATGTCTAAAAGGTGACATTAGATTTGGCTGTGACTTCTATAAAGAAAGACCACAGAAGAATAAAGGTACCACATGCTCTTACCATGCGATTCCTGTCTTCTGAGGATGAAGATGATTTCCTTTCCCGCTGAGGTCCTGGGGATTTCTGCAATGCTTTCACATTAGTAAGTGAGCCAGGTAATGAGGCAGGGGGGGTGGCAGACAAGCCTGTAGTTGATCCTAAGTTAGTGAAAGGAAAGATGTATCCATTAAAGGAAGATCAAGCTTGTTGATTTATTGGGGGCGGAGGGTAGGGGGAGATTTAGACTTATTTAAAAAATGCAGTGCATGTTCAAGTACAGACCTTTTAGAAAGGATAGGCCAAAAAAGGGCCTCACTTGGTAATTAGTACTACAATTTCTTTTAGTTTTCTGGCCAATTTAATGACCTCTGAAATGTCTGATTATAGATATACATTTTGCTTTTTGATGCATAATCTAAGGAAAAGAATCTCTCTAAAATAAGAGAAAAATCCAAAACAATACTCCCAAGGTCCTGATTCTTTGATTTAAAAAATTAAAAAAGCAAAATCAATTTAAAAGCCTATATAAAAAATAAAATTTTAATTATTTTATGTTGCTTCAGCAGCCAATTAATATAAAAAAAGATGGAAATCCCCAAATGGAAACATATTCTAATAATGGCCTTAATGCTGAAAATATGTGGCTTTTTTGTATTAGCCACAAAAAAAAAAAAAAAAA